TGAAACGAGAATTGCAACATTTTTTGAGGATGTTGATTTTGGAGGGAGAAATAAAGAAAGAAACATTGTCTTTAAAGAGGAACCAAGTAAGGATGATTCGGTTCTCATTCCTTTTGTTGTTTCTGATAGCGTACAGACTCCAGTTGCTCCTGTCACTATTCAAGATCCAATTCCAGACAATGCTATTCTTCCTTAAGAACAAATTCAACAACCTCAAGAATTAGAGTCTGTTCAAAAAGTCTTATGTATGTTCAAGTTTGTACTCGTCCAGACATTTCTTTTATAGTTGGCATGTTAGGTAGATATCTTAGCAATCCAGGAATGGATTATTGGAAAGCAGCCAAAAGAGTTATGAGATATCTTCAGAGGACTAAGGGACATATGCTCACATATAGGAGATCAGATCAGCTTGAGATCATTGGGTATACTGATTCTGATTTCGTTGGATGCCAAGACAGAAGAAAATCCACATCTGGCTATGTTTTTCTATTGGCTGGTGGTGCTATTTCTTGGAAGAGTGTGAAACAAACTCTAGTGGCAACCTCCACCATGATCTTATAAGGCATCCAATCAAGCTATTTGGCTGAGAAACCTTGTCAATGGGCTGCGTGTAGTAGGTGGAATAGAAAGACCACTGAAGTTGTATTGTGACAGCAGGTCAGCCGTTTTATTCTCCAACAACAACAGGAGCTCTTCTCATTGTGTCCCTTCGTCCTTTCACAGCCAAGCAAACTTAAGAGTCCTCAATGTGTGTTGATCGAGAACAGTTCCAGAAGAGCTCCTGTTGTTGTTGGAGAATAAAACGGCTGACCTGCTGTCACAATACAACTTCAGTGGTCTTTCTATTCCACCTACTACACGCAGCCCATTGACAAGGTTTCTCAGCCAAATAGCTTGATTGGATGCCTTATAAGATGCTACAAATTCAGCTTCCATGGTAGAGGTTGCTACTAGAGTTTGTTTCACACTCTTCCAAGAAATAGCACCGCCAGCCAATAGAAAACGTAGCCAGATGTGGATTTTCTACTGTCTTGGCATCCAACGAAATCAGAATCAGTATACCCAATGATCTCAAGCTGATCTGATCTCCTATATACGAAATCAGAATCAGTATACCCAATGATCTCAAGCTGATCTGATCTCCTATATGTGAGCATATGTCCCTTAGTCCTCTGAAGATATCTCATAACTCTTTTGGCTGCTTTCCAATAATCCATTCCTGGATTGCTAAGATATCTACCTAACATGCCAACTATAAAAGAAATGTCTGGACGAGTACAAACTTGAACATACATAAGACTTTATAGAACTTCCCTAGTTTGAGCGCATAAGGAACTTTTGCATTTCCTGTGAATTTTCCGAAGTTCACCTCTTTGGACATGGTTGTTACTAAGATTTATCAACTCTTTTTGCAATAGGCGGTAATCCAATGCTTGAATTCTGAGCATACTAAATCTCTTGAGCACTGTTTATCATATAGCGCTCTTTTGTGATAATCCAAGGAATACCCTCGAGAGAAACGGTCTCATGCATGTAATCCTGAATCCCTAAAAGGACAAAAGAGAGCCTCACCCTAGAATATTTTCATCTCAAAAATGCTTTGAAAGAAAATAACTTTGGTTTCATGCAGCAAGACCTGTTTACAATTAGTAAGCAAAGAAGTGATGGTCATGGCCAACTATCTAAGACGCAAATAAAAGGATTGAACCTACTCCCACTGAACCGTTATGATACACAACAATTGTTCACCAGCATTTGCCGTTCTTTGCCTCAAAGCCAAACGAGACAATTACTTAGTTGAACTTAAAGTACCATTGACGAGAAGCTCGCTTGAGTCCATAAATGGATTTCTTTAATTTGCATACCAGATGTTTTGGATCTCCAATTACAAAATTTTCTGGTTGCACCATATATATTGTTTCATCAATGTTGCCATTGAGAAACGTAGTCTTAACATCTATTTGATGAAGCTCAAGATCAAGATTTGCAACTAAGTCCATGATTGTCCTAAAAGAATCCTTCGAAGAAACTGGAGAGAAGGTTTCTTTATAGTCAGTCCCTTCCTTTTGAGTAAAGCCTTTTGCTACAAGACGTGCGTTATATCTTTCCACATTACCTTGAGAATCCCTTTTGGTTTTAAATATCCATTTGCAACCAATGGGTTTCTTTCCTTCAGGTAATTGAACAAGATCCCAACAACCAAATGGTGGTTTCTTGTCTCTCAGGTAATTATGAAACAAGATCTCCCAACACTCTGAGTTGTTCTTGGCATAGATTATGAAGCCTCTTTCGTTCATGTGACCTCAATCCAACTTAGTGAGAGTCGGCAGAAGCTCTGCATGGCAAATGGATGAGAAACTAATACTGGAGTCATCGGATCTATCATGTCTAGCGAGTATCCTCATGTTCCCCTGAAGAAACACTATAAATAATCATCTGGGAATTAGCACTTATCTTGCTCCCTAGTAGATCTCCTCAAATCCAACATCTGGCTACGCTTTTTTCTGATTGGCTGTGGCGCGGTGCTATGGTTTCTAGGAAGAAGTAATGAACAAATCTCTAGTGTAGCAACCTCCACCATGGAAGCTGAATTTGTAGCATCTTATGAGGCATCCAATCAAGCTATTTGGTTGAGAAACCTTGTCACTGGGCTGCGTGTAGTAGGTGGAATAGAAAGACCACTGAAGTTGTATTGTGACAGCAGGTCAGTCGTTTTATTCTCCAACAACAACAGGAGCTCTTCTCGATCAAAACACATTGACATTAAGTTCTTGGCTACGAAGGAGAGGGTACAGAGTGGACAGATATCCTTAGAGCATATTGGAACAAACTCTATGATTGCGGATCCGCTTACAAAGGCAGTGATACCGAAAGTTTTAGGCAGTGATACCGAAAGTTTTCCATGAGCACACCGCTCATATGGGTATCGTTTTGTTTGAGACTGTCTAGTTTTAGTGGGAGTCTGCTCTTTATGTATACATTATGGTTTTGAATGCTCTATTTTGTTTTGGATATGTTTTATCATGAAATTTTGTTGAGTACTCATTTTGGTTGATGGTTACACTCTGTATTATTATTATTGTTCTGGTATGTAATTAATTATTGTTTTGGCTTGATCTCAGCTTTTGTTGGTGAGACTGGCAGTTTTGGAAACAGACATGAATGATCACATTGCAGGATGTAGTGTTTTCATACTAACACTTCTATAATGAATCCTAGATGTCATTTTAGGGGGTATTGGTTAATGTTAGTTGAAATGATGAACTTAGTCCCATGAGAATCTTATGGCGGAATGTTTTTCTTCAAGTTAATTTTTTATCATATAAACTAATTGGACCGAGATTGGTTTTTGGATAGCCTTGTTATGTAACTGCGTTTGTTGAGTCTATTTTGGTGTATGTATGGTTTTTATTTAACCATATGTTCGTCCAAGTGGGAGATTTGTTGGATTGTAATTTTTCTATTGTGGGCGTTAATATGTAAATAAGAGTACGTACATGGCAGTTAAAATTGAAAACTCAATTTCAAATGTGGTCTTTGATTTGTGGAATAATATGACTATTGAGGGTATTGTTCAACTAATTAGCTAAGATATAAGTGTAGAGACATTTTAGTATAATGTTCTATTCGTTAAAGGCCCGAAAATACGGAAAAATTGTTACTAACGCTACAGGTAATAGTTGAAAAGGTATCGTTGGGTCCCCAGAGGAGTTTGATACGCATTCAGTTTTACGGTCTGCCTTTTTCGTACTGCTTTTCCCCCGGCCTAAAAAAAAAATCGATTCTTCAATTCTTCTCTCGAATAGCGGACCTGCAACCCTAATTCCACATCATCAAAGATCGAGAACATAACGAGTTGTTCAGGGTTCACGGCAGACATTTTTTCTTTAGTTCAATCTATTTTGTTGAATCTAGTGTTTTCGGCATCGATCCTAGTTAATTGCTAAGGAATTTATTTGAAATTCAAATGTCATAAACATCAAGATCGACGAACAACGATGTCAGGTACGCAACATTTTCTTATTCAATCTATTTTGTTGAATCTAGTGGTTTGCACGATCTAGGTTATTGAGGAATTATTTGAGATTAATTCATAACATGTCCTAGTTGGTCTTTTCACTGACATGAGAAGTGAAAGGTGTTGAATTTTAGTCCTCCCGATTATAATAGTTTTCACCAATTGGATAAGTTAAGGGAATACTACTTTTATTGTATAGTCAAAAATATTATTTTTATCCGTTAAACCTCTCAATAAATTTTTTCTTTAAAAAAAAGGAGTCAACCCAAGTTTTCAGCTTCAAAACTCTAGTACCCAGCTCGGACAATGGGACTTCATTAACGTGCAAGTTGACAGATCATCGAAAGACAATCTGATTCAACCACCACCAAATCAAGGCTTATACCGATTTAATTTTGGAAGGAAAGATGGCTCTTGGATGGTTTAATTTTAAAAGATGTTGCTAGTTCCAATATCCCTTTCCATTTGCTTGATGATTATACAGTAGCAATGGAGTTTGGGATTGGAATAAATTTAGTTGTTTTTTGCCCATTTCTATTCTAACCTGTATTGATGTCGTCCTTCCTCCTTCACAGGATAGAGGTGAAGCTCAAATTTATTGGTTTACAGTTGGCTTTCTAGAGTTAACGAAGCAAATAATAATGGTAGTTGGTCTCTGATCTGGAGGTGGTCTGGTCACCAACGAATCAGAGTTTTTCTCTGAGTTAGCCTACCATAATAGATTACTTACCAACGGTGAATGAAACAGGAGGCATCTTTGCTCCTCTTCGGTAACTCCATGGGCAGCATTTTGGGAGTCGCTTGTTGGAAAATCTGGTTTGATGAGGTTTTATCCCACCTAGCTAGTCTCTCCTATTCCTGGTAGAATGGCAAATAAGGACTTATTGTGCTTATACATATACATAGAAGAGACATTGAAAGAGAGAGTTCAATAGTCTTTCTCAGTATAAGCATAACACACAAAATGAGTTTTCTACTGAAATTTCTCAGAATTTGGAGGCATAGCCACCTGACATCCATTAATATATACAGTTCATAAAAATAGCAACAATTCTTTGTAGTATATCATTTTTAGTAAAATTAGCATTACTTCAAGGAAATATATTAATTACACTTGCACACTTAGCAATATTACCATTCTAATACTGACAAGGAATATAAAATAGAAGTGCATAACTGAGAAGTTATAGTTGAATCAAGTAGTCACTCTATGACATCGACACCAAAATGCAGTTCCCCCGCTCCGGCCTCGAGCAACTGCGATTTCTTCATCAATGTAAAACCAGATAAAGAAAGGATCCTTTGTGTTTGGTTCTCTATCTTCTTTCTGGCCAAGACTTATCTCCAAGGGGTTCAGAGGTCCAATTTTGATTCGAATGCGCTCGAAAATGAAGGCTAGTATCCTCTTCTTCCATGTAAATCTGCCTTCAAATGTTAAGCATCCAATTGGCCCAAGATATACTCCATTTTCAATTCTTTTTCCCTGGAAATCGCAGAGTGAACTCATAAGAACTATCTAAAGCTGAACTATTAAAAAAGAAAGAATTTAAGTAACAAAAGTCATCTTTCTGTCTCTAACCATAGTTCATATAAACAGTTGAAATTTTTTACTGTTCTCTTCAAATGGGAAAAAGGTGAAAGCAAGGGAAAGTTCATACTCAAAGAATCCTTCAGAAATTTTGAAAAATGAAACAAAATGTATATAATTGAATTGTGTATCTAGATAAGTGTTCAAGGAAGGGAGAAATAGAGGAAACATGAAAACATGATAACAAAAGTGTACAAAGCATGGGACAAGAAAAGCTCATATCAGGTAATCATTTTCCAATTTTCACAGAATTTTCATTTCAAAAATATAATCATTACGGTTTTACAGTAATAAAAAAGTCATTCTTGAGTTTTAATGTAGAAGTTCCAATGGATTATATTAAGGTCCAAAGGAGGAATAGTTGCTTATTATTTCTTCAAAAAGAAAATCCACCAAAAAAAAAAAAAAAGAACACTTCAAAAAATGAGATATGTGCATTCTGATTCTCAACACATCGGAATTTTTGTTGTCAGTTAATTAGTTTTCGATTAGGGTTCAAACTTGCCACTTGACAATCCTATAATTTACTCTAATACGACTAAACCAAAGATCATTGTTTTAATTACAAAAAACAAGAACTCATATTAAGGCTAAAAAGAGCTTACAGCAGCATCAAATCTCTGAACAGCAGTGAGAGGAAAGTATCTTCCACCCTTTAATTGCTTCTATAAATCAGAGAAAGAAAAAGGAAAATTAAAATAAGCACAATTTAATGATGGAGATAAAATTACCAACCAGAAACAAATTAAATGAATTATATTTATATGAACCTCAGCAGTGAAAACAAGCATCCAAGTTCTTCCAGGGGATTCGGATCCACCAAGTGTATCAAGAAACCCAGAAGGATCAATTTTAGCCTTCTCAATCACTGACATAGCTGACAAAACCTCATCTTTTGCAACCTTTCTTGTCTTTGCAGCATTCTTTAGCACTTTCACACTCTTCTCTACCTCCTAAACCAGCATTCTTTAGCACTTTCACACTCTTCTCTACCTCCTAAACCAAAAAATCCACATAGAAATTACCCGAATCAGTTCAAATATTTCCAAAAGATTTCAAGAAATCAAATAAGAAGAGGAAAATACATACTAAGTTGCTTCTAGCCTGCATTTTTTCTTCTTCTTCTTGTTCTTGGATAAGAAGTGGGTTAGGGGCATTTTGCTCTTTCTCATCAAGGGTAGCTCTGGTTTTCAATCTTTGGAATTTAAGGAGATGATGACTGGTGGGTTTGGCATTAGCATGAAGAGGAAGTACAGAAAGCTTTATGGGCAATCGTGCTTGAAATGAATTTAGAGCCACAAAGCTCAAGCAAGAGAAATAAGAAGATGATATTACTGCTTGAGAGCCCATTTTGATTCTAATCCATTTGATGGGTCTTGACCCATTTTACCATTGTTTCTTGCTTTTTTTCCTTTTGCATTCTAATTCTTTGGATTGCATTTTTAAGAAAATTTTGAAAAATTGCCACCTGAATGATATGATTAAATTTGAAAAGCTATTTTACAAATTGCTTTAATAACAATCAATATTTTAAAAATTTTATTATCAAAAAATAAAAGATTATTAAAATTAGCAAAAATTCCAAAATTTGCAACGTTTTTACAAATTATGAATTTCTACCTCTCAAACTTTGCTCAAAAATTATAAAAATAATTATCACAAATGCATTATTTAATTTCATAGAATTTTTATTCAAATTAAATATAAAATAATTTTTGTAATTTTGATAGTTACTGAATGCAAAAACCTTTAGATTTTCTTTGTTACTAAATCCACTCTTTTAGTCATAACTCCTTTTACAGATAAAATTTCAAAAAAATCTTGATATTATTGGAATCTAGACTAAAAGAAATTCTAACGATGTATGACATGTCAAAATCCGAGTTGAAACGGGCCATAAACTGATTAAACCATGCATCACCGACCCATGCTCGGGGGTCACCACAGAGGGCCCTGCAATCACCGCTTAGGCCAAGTTTGGTGATCATCCAGATTTGAGCGAAGAAATCTCATTTCCACATTGAAATGTGTGAAGTTTTAGCTTAAATCTTCTCCTATATAAACTAGTCGCTCCTTCGTTCAAAAACACAATTATACAATAATCGACAATATCAATACTCTCTTTTACATTTTAGAGGCTTTAATTGAAATGTTCCTAAGGCTTTTTAAGCTTTTTCTATCTTTTCCATTCATTCGAGTGTTCTAAGTAATTGAGACGATATTCTTTCGAAATTACTTCCCTCATTCGCTCTATTTCTTCTTTTGGAGGCTCTCCTCGAGCGAAATTTCTCTTAGTTTAAATTTTCTCCATTCTTAGATTAACGTCTCTTTGATAAGCTAAACCTCACTTCAAAATTGTGTTTGAAGTTTGGAGCCTCTTTGCTAAATCCAAACTTTAAGACCACAGATTTGGATTCTTCTTGAAGTCTAAATTTCCAACCTAAAGCCCCTCACCGAGAAGATAATGTGCTTTATAGGAGATATTATTTAAGTCACAGTCTGCACATATTAAATATCACAGCACCATTGTCAAATAATCATCACAGCTCAGTATACTTAGCCAAACCCATAGTTAGTTACTTGTACACCAGATCATATATACTCTCTTGTAAATAGATATTTTGATAAAAAAATGAGAATTACAGTTTCCAGATGCAGCAGAGAATCAAAAATCTCTCTGCTACTTTCATTCGTTCTTTCCTTTATTCATTTCCGTACTGATATTGTCCATTGTTTTCTTGAGCTTGCTTAATCCTGTTCATGGTATCAGAGCAGGTTAACTGATCTGTTTCTTGTGGTATCAGAGCAGGTTAACTGATCTGTTTCTTGAATTTCTACAATTCAAGAGTAAACTTTGTTTTAGATCTGGTTGAACATCAAAATGATCACTCCAGAAGATGTGGCGAGGCTTATCGCTGTAGTTACTAGCAAAAATCATGATAATGATCCTTTAATGTGAATAACTCAGAATCTCCTGGATTTCGATTGGTGAATTCTTCATTAAAAGGGCCAGAGAATTATCTTTCATGGAGCAGATCTGTAATGGTAGCTCTCAGGGCGAAGAACAAGCTAGGGTTTATTAATGGAACCATAGCTCAACCTGATTCACAGTCAGAGGAATATGAGAGGTGGTTACAAGCAGATAGCATGGTAGCTTCGTGGATCATTAATGTTGTATCCAAGGAGATATCATATGCCTTTGTATTTTGCAAAACTGCAAAAATACTTTGGGATGAGCTAAAACAGAGGTATGGAGAGTGTAATGGCCTGATGATATATAAGATTGAGAGAGAAATTGCAAGTTACAAGCAAGGAAACGAGTCTGTAACAAGTTTTTATACAAATCTCCAAAAGAAATGGGATGAATTACTATGTTTGGCACCTTTTGCCTACATGTTGTGGTCAAACAAATGCAATTACAGGATATGACAACATAGAAGGTTTAATGCATTTTTCCATAATGGGACTAGGTGATGAATATGACCATGCTAAAGAATCAGATCCTTTTAATGGATAACATTTCCTTCAATTAATAAAGCTAATTCCCATGGATTTTGAGTGTTGAGAATTGAGAAGCAAAGAGAGGTAAATACATTGAATGTGGAATCCAGTGAAACTTCAACAGTATTGTTAGCTAGAAGGAACTACAACAGCAATTACAACAATCCAGGTGCAACTGGTAACAGGAAACCATACTACAATAGAAAGGAAGACAAGAAAGACAAGTATTGCCCCAAATGCAAAATGAATGGCCATACCATAGAAAACTGCTTCAAAATCCATGGATATCCAGACTGGTTCATTGAGTTACAAAAGAAAAGAGGAGTCAACATGACTGGAACAAACACGGTGAATGCAGTTCAGATGGATGATACACCTCTGCAGCAGCAGTCCACACCTTTGCAGCAACAAATTGATTATCAGATGGAGCAAGTTGATGCCGACATCAAGAATGTTCATTTTGCAGGTACTTTACTCAATTCTGTCATTTATAGCATTGATTTTAACTGCAAAAGTAACTGGATAATAGACTCAAGTGCAACAGACCATATCACTACTAATCTATCATTTTTTGACCTTGTACATAAATTGAACCCTCCTAAAACCATTAGACTACCTAACAACTCTACCAGACAAGTTACTCACATTGGAAATGTTAAATTGAACAATAGAATTACTCTATACAATGTGTTGTATGTGCCTTCCTTCAGCTGCAACCTCATTTCAGTAAACTTACTGTAAACTTACTCACCAAAACATGTCATTTGTCTGTACACTCATTTCCTGAATACTGCTTATTCCAGGATTTACAGACTGAGGAATTACTGGCAGTGGGAAAAGTATATGAAGATCTATACTACATGACAAAAGACATCTATACTACATGACAAAAGACTCTTTCATTCAAAATAAGGGAAACAATATGACAGCTCAATGTAATAGTCATAATAAACATCTAGCAATGTTGTGGCATGCTAGATTAGGTCATATTTCAAATAAGAGATTGATACATGTGAATGATGTACATGATTGTGATTTTGTGGATATGGCATGTCCTGTTTGCCCTATTGCTAAACAAACCAGATTACCTTTTTTCACTAGTCAAATTTCTACCTTAAAACCTTTTGAGATTGTACATATAGATTTATGGGGACCATACAGTGTTAAATCTGTTACAAATGCAGTGTATATGTTGACCTTGGTGGATGATTACAGCAGATACTGCTGGACTTACATGCTAACAACCAAGATTCAAGTACCATATGCCTTGAAATCCTTTTACCAGTTAATTCTTACCCAATTCCAACAAAATATCAAGATCTTCACATCTGATAATGGCTCAGAATTCATAAATTCTGAATGTGTGAAGTTTTTCCTTGAAAAATGCATTATTCAGCAAAGAACTTGTGTATATACTCCTCAGCAGAATGGAGTAGTGGAAAGGAAACACAGAACCTTAATAAATATTGTCGAGCTATATTCCACCAAGCCAAATTTCCAACCCAATTCTGGTTTGAAACCTTGTTATCTGCAACCTACATATCCAATAGAATTCCTTCTGAAAATCTCAAATGGCAAACACCTTATGAAAGATTATATAATAAACCTCCAGATTATTCTCACTTCAGAGTAATTGGATTTTAATGTTACTCAACTAATACACTGCCACACAAACTGAAGTTTGCACGCCGAGGACATCCTTGAGTGTTCCTTGGTTATTCTCAACAGCATAAAGGGTATAAATTGTACAATCTCAGTACCAAAACTTTATTCCATTCTAGAGATGTGATCTTTATTGAAGCCACTTTCCCTTTTCACCACAAAAGACCTGAAACCATAATAAATTTTACACTACCAGCTTGCATTTCTAATGCATATCTATCCCCGATTTCATTTCCCACAACAACATTTGATGTTTCTCAGCAAGGTTCACCCAGAAATACTTCACAAATACACCCTCCTTCCCCACCAATCACAGAAAATGATACAGCTCCCTCATCCTCAGCTAATAGAACACCTAATTTGTCTCCACAAGGCACATCACAACCAATTCTACTGAACCAACTAATATACAACCAAACATTCTTGAATCATTATTAGCAGATCAAATACATGCTCTTGTTTTAAGAAGAAGCATAAGAACCAAACATACACCAACTTGGTTACAAGACTTTGTGGTTTCTCATATCTCCTCCACTCACACACCAGCTTCTATTCATTTCACACCCTCACACCAAAACTTTGTTGCACATGTGTCTAAAGTCCAGGAACCTAGCAATTATAATCAAGATAAAAATGATAAAAATTGGGTAGATGCCATGAATGAAGAATTAACTGCTCTTGAAAACAACAATACATGGATACTAACTGATTTACCCCCTAATGTAAAACCTGTGGGGTGTAAGTGGATATACAGGATAAAGTAAAAACCAGATGGAAGCATTGATAGATACAAGAAGCATTTGATAAGATACCAAGGCCAGATCTTGTGGCAAAGGGCTACAGCCAGGATTGTGGTCTAGATTACGGGTCTAGATTACAACCAGACCTTCTCTCATGTGGCAAAGTTAATAACTGTAAGAGTTTTCTTAACTCTGGCAGTAGCCAAAGCTTGGCCTGTTCATCAACAATGCCTACTTGCATGGGTCCATTGATGAAACTATATACATGCAAGTACCACCAGGTTATGATAAAGCTCACAAAGGTCAAGTATGTAAATTGCAAAGATCTCTCTATGGATTGAAGTAGGCAGGGAGATAATGGAATAAGGAACTTTCTGCGAGCTTAATTTCTACAGGTTTTCAACCGTCCATGTTTGACAACTGCATGTTCACAAAGGGCAAAGGAGATTCTTTTCTTGCTATTTTGGTCTATGTTGATGATTGTATTATAACAGGACCATCCGAGGAGCTAATTCAAGACCTCAAAGACTATCTTCATCATATAAATTTATAACAGGACCATCCGAGGAGCTAATTCAAGACCTCAAAGACTATCTTCATCATAAATTTACTATAAAAGACCTGGGATATGCCAAATATTTTCTAGGTATTGAAATTGCCAGATCAAATGAAGGAATTCTTCTCACTCAACACAAGTTCATCACAGATATCATCAAAGATTCTAGATTGCAGAATGCAAAAACAAGCTCCAATCCTTTCATTCAGGGACTAAAGCTCAGTTCAGACATGGGATCTCCTCTCCAAACTCCAGATGTTTTCAGGAGACTTTTTGGCAGACTTCTGTATTTGTCACTTACCAGACCTGACATTAGCTTTGCTGTCCAGCAGCTAAGTCAATTCATGCAAACACTTGATCAACAACACCTTAAGGATGCATTGACATTGGTCAAGTATTTGAAGGGCACCAGTTATAGAGGACTCTTCCTCCCATCACAGAATGACATGAAGCTAAGAGCTTTTTCTGATGCAAACTGGGCATCATGTGCTGATACTAGAAAATCTACCACAGGATACTGTATTTTCCTAGGCACTACTTTGGTGTCATGGAAATCAAAGAAACAGAACACAGTAAGCAAGTCCTCTGCAGAATCCGAGTACAGGTCCATGGCTACAACAGTTTGTGAGATAAAATGGCTGCATCCCCTTCTCTCTGATTTCCATATTGAAATTCCCAAACCAATACCACTTCATTGTGACAACAAAGCAGCAATTCACATAACTGCAAACCCAGTTTTTCATGAAAGAACCAAACACATTGACATTGATTGTCATGTTGTCAGATCCCAGCTTCTCTTAGGCTTCGTTAGCACACCTTACCTACCTTCAACCTTGCAACTTGCAGATGTGTTCACTAAACCCCTATCCACAACCACATTTCAGTCATTTTCTTCCAAGCTTGGGTTGGTTGACTTCTCCCCAACACCAGCTTGAGGAGGGGGTATAGGAGATATTATTTAAGTCACAGTCTGCACATATTAAATATCACAGCACCATTGTCAAATAATCGTCACAGCCCACTATACTTAGCCAAACCCATAGTTAGTTACTTGTACACCAGATCATATATACTCTCTTGTAAATAGATATTTTGATAAAAAAAATGAGAATTACAGTTTACAGATGCAGCAGAGAATCAAAAATCTCTCTGCTACTTTCATTCGTTCTTTCCTTTATTCATTTTCGTACTGATATTGTCCATTGTTTTCTTGAGCTTGCTTAATCCTATTCATGCTTGCCTATTTATCCGAGGAAGAAGCAAGCCAAGACTCGGCCCATCGCTCACCAAAAGACTAAGGTATGGACCCCCGAATACCATAAGTCTTTCAATACAATGTCTATTCAATTTCAAAATTAATCATCTCCTTCTTACACTCGTTAAAATTGGTAATTAAAGTCAAAACATGATAAGAGAAGGTTAAAATTAATATTTCAGAATCAATCAATCAATCAATCCCCATTTTACAGTGGGAAAAATTGCATGATCTGATTCCCATTCAAAAGGATATGTAGATAGACTCACGTCGGCATCAAGTTACGAACTAAATCACTAAAAACCTCTCTTTTTTTTTCTTTTTCTTTATTTGCTTTCTTTTAAGAGTTATGTGATTGCCCTAAAATTTCCTAAAAACGACTACAGGTGATACTCCCTATTTCAATTTATTTCTTTTCCTTACTTTAATTTACCGTTCTTTGCTTTATCGCACTTTAATTATTTTATTTTGCTTTAAATAATATTTCTGTTATGCATAATCTGATTATTCATATTAAATCAATTTTAATGAATCAAGCATTAACTAAGGTCAAATTTGAAACAATTTCAAACTAAAAATCTAGTCACAAAATCCTCATTAGTTTTGCGAACTATTCTACTTTTTTCAATTGGACAAAATTGGAGATTAGTATTTTTCTTAGATTTTCCCTCAAAGTTAAAATTTAAGTCGCAGCTCCTTTTTAAAACAAGCAACATATTAAATAGGTATTTCTCCATGAACCCAATCTAAATGAGTGTTCTGATCTCTTTAACGGACCAGATATGACATCGGATCAGGGCTTCGTACTATTGGTTTTAAGGGACTCAAATAATAATTGTTGCAAGTGATAAGCTTGTGTAGCTTTACATCTTGCTACATGGTTAGTTTCCTATATTTTTATAGTTTTTATTAATGTTTTTTGGTTTTTTTTTCATTTCTTTTATGCTCCATTTGTTTCCATAAAATAATTTTTAGAAAAATAACTTGCTAAAAAATATTTTCCATGAAAAATATTTTCCTTGAATAATATTTTCAAATGACTTATTTTCCATTGTTTGGTTTTAATATTGAAAATTAGTTAAAAGTATTAAAGTTTATCTCATAAGACCATAAAAATATTAATAATAATAGAAATTTTAAAATTCTAAAATTTATTGCTAAAAATGAGAAGAATGCAAAAAAAAAAAATGTAAATTATGAAAGCCACCAATGGCCCGTGGTGGTGGCTGCCAGTGGCCAGTGATGGTGGCTGGTGGTGATAGCTGGTAGTGGTAGTCAGTGATAAATGGTGACTGGTGATAGTGACTACGAGATGATTAATAAATTAAAAAAATATGGATTTATAAGGTTTGTTAATGTCCAGAAAATGTTTTACTCTCTTGAAAATGAGAAGTTTTCCTTAAAAAAAAACTTAATTTTCCTTTGACTAGGAAAATATTTTCCATTGATTTTTTTCCTGAACGCAAAAATAACGGAAAATTGTGAAAAATATTTTTCTACAAATTATTTTATAGAAACAAACGTAGCCTTATTATAAAGCGTATATTTTCACTTTAATTTTACTTCTTGAGTTTTGCATGTTTACTAATAGGGAAAATTATGATATCATCTCCGTATTTTACTGTAATGTACAACATTACCAAATACATAATTTTATTCTTATCTTTTGCCTCTAATACTCTGTTATATCTTTCTGTCAATTTTTTATATTTTTTTCAATAAATTACTATTTTTATTCTTGTATTTTACCAAAATTAACTATATTGTCCATGTATTTATTGACTATGTTGTCTCTGTATTTTATCAAAATTAATTGATTTGCCCCTATATTTTCCGGCGCGATCCAATTCCTTTCAGTGACATCGAGTTAGCTTTAACAAAAAAGTACAAAAAAAATTGATAGAAAGATATAACAATGTAATGAATGCAAAAAATAGAGACCAAACAATATATTTTTAAAAATACAAGGATAAATCATATATTTTGATAAAATAATAATTTTTCCTTACTAATTTTTTGGCTTGATTTTTATAAATATTAACATAAGTATATGAAATTAATCCAATATACATATATGCATAAATCAATCATCACTATGAGATCCCGTTTCAAAAATTTGAGCATAAAAAGTTTAATTTCTTTGAAAAACTAGATAATTGATATATATGTTATACATTGTTGTTGTTGCTATGTTTAAAATTTTTATTATGTTTCTTTTTTTCAATACCATTGAATAAGTTATTATTATTTTTTAAATTATTATATTGTGGAAACTCCATTCTCAGTTGTGCATTTCAATTTGATTTTTAATTGATAAGCCCCTCATTTTATGTATAAACTATGTACAGTCATAAATTACTTGGATTGATGGTTTTGTGTTTATAATCCTAAGATATATGTTCATCGTAAAGAAAAAAAAAAGTGAAAGAATGATTAAAATTACAATAAGTATAATACTCCCTCGTCTCATTTTGTTTGCATGGTTTGACAAAACACGCATGTTAAGAATTTAGTCAACAAAAGTTATTTTGTCATTCTTTACCCTTAATAAAAATTTAGTCAACAAAAGTTATTTGTCATTCTTTACCCTTAATAATTCATTATGATACTAAAAAAGTTATTTTGTCATTCTTTACCCTTAATAATTCATTATAGATACTAAAAGTCCTTCATTCAATGAACAATTATAAATGTTATTATGGAAAAAATAATTATTTATATTTCTAAATTTAGAAATCTTGCAAACATTTTTGAACATCCAAAAAAAGAATAACAAGCAAACAAAATGAGACGGAGGGAATATATGAAACTAAAGAAACAAATTAGCAATATTAAAAATTGAAATATTACATTTTTCTAATAATTTGCTTTGCGTTTAATTAGTAAAAACAAATTACAAGCTACCCCAAATTGAAAAACTGTAGAGTTTTGGATTTTCATAACAAAAGAGTCAAAGAGCTCATCCATGATGTCTTGTCCAAATTGGTCCTTAAGAAGTGGCTCTAAGCCTGCCCTGGTATGAGATGATATCATTCTTGCTTTTGTTAGAATACTGTCTTGGGTCTTCTTTAAGGGTATGCTCACTGATCTTTCTACATTGAAACATCCATTGCGTTCTATACCTTCTTCTAATTCTTCTGCAGAGGGAAAATATATTGGAATGTTGAAGGAATCCACTTTTTCTTTACTTATGATTCCCTGCCTCATCAAATAGATCAATTAGAAAAGATTTATAGTGACTTGTGGCCTAACTATTTGTGATTAACTATATTGTATATTATGATTAACTGATGGATTTTATCAGTATTTGTAAATAAATCTTATACTAAGCAGGACTTAGGGTATGTTATTTTAGTAGCGTTTAGCTATTAGTTATTTAAGTATTTTTTCATAAAATGTTAAAAGCTAAACGTTATATAAATTAACTTTTTATAAAACGTTAACTTAATCTCTAAAAGTTAGTTTAAATATTATGTTACTGGTTTAGATATTATGTTACCAAATATTATAAAAAATAGTTTTTAGCATTTTGATTTAAAGCTACTACCGAAGACAGCCTTAATTGATAAAAGAACCTGTAATATATAGTTTTAAATATGAGAGTCCTAACCTTATTAGCCAAGTCCATGAGGCAAGAACCCAAAAGATCATATGCCACATTGGAGAAAACTTGAGAATGAGGAATTCCACCCAACCGCCCTGGAAATGTAAGTATAACTAACCCGCCGGCAATTACTTCTTTTGCCCTAAAATCAAGAAAGCAATCCATGTCTCTGTCAAACTGGTCTTTGAAGGCCTTCACAGTTTGATCTCCTGAATCGGAATAGTGAATCCTCCCTTTATTCCAAGCAGGAGAGCTTTTGTCCACTATCTCTTTTGGCACTTGAGAAAGCCATTGAAGAGCATAGGAAGAATGGACAATGTGAAGTGAGGCATTAGGAAATAAGCGGCCGTGGAAGGAACCTGTGATGGTATATATAATTGCATCAAACTCTATTATGATTAACTATATTTTTTAAAGAATATACTTCCAGTAAATTAAAATAAGGCATTTATTTATATTTATATATAAAATAACTTATTTGTTTCAATAAAAAGAGTAGTACTATTTCTTTAATTTTTTAATAACCTGGCACTCCAATGGCATAGTATTGCCTGTTGGTAGGAAGAGAAGAGAAGAGAGTGTTGAAATCATTGGAAGAATGATCATTCAGGAAAACTTGGAACTCTACTTGTACGCCTTCCAATGTCTCATACTTAATCTCTATAGCTTCAATTATGTTTTGAACTGCAACAAATGTGTTAGGCCCTGTAGAGCAACCCATGTCTGTGATTTGAAAAGTATTGTTTGATGCAGAATTAATTTTGATATCAAGCTTTTCAATAATTGCCTCTTTGATAAGTTCCTTTACTGAATCTACTGCTCCTCTCTGCCAAAAAAATTTTTTTTAAAATGAAATAATTTTTTTACAAAAAAACTCGATGTAGTTAATTTGTCTTTGAACGTACTACTACGAATATAACATTTAACATGATCATGAATCGATAATAAATCTAACTTACAAAATGAGTATTCTATTGAGCCCCTCTCTCCTTTTTCTTTTTAAAAAATTTTGCACCCCTGTTAATAAATATATTTGTCTAAATTAACGCATTTAGACTTCGTTTATTTCTAAAATAACTTATATTTGGAAAAATATTTTCAAATGACTTATTTTCCATTATTTAGTTGCAATATTAAAAATTAATTAAAAATATTAAAATTTTTTAACTCACTGTAAAAATATTAATCTTCTATATAATCTATATTTTTATCATATATAAAAGCAGGGAGTTTGTCTTACATAGCCAAGTGTACGTATCATAATTTGTCACTTACCATTATTTTGGATTATAAAATGACGAATGATAGAATTATAATATAATTTAACACAATTTAAAAAATTATAAGAAGATTTGTTTTATATTTCAGATAATCCCTTGTCAAGATAATGTTTATAAAAAAGATTATCTCTAGCATTTAATATATTAATATAAATTATTTTTTTCTTAGAAAACAATTAACAAGTAATCCACATAAATAAAAAAGTGTGAATAAACAATATATTACTATTAAATAAACAATATATAAATAATTTAAAAAATATAAATTAAAACATATGGGATATGATAATTTTTAAAAAAGTAGGACATAATGGGATATGATAAATTTTTAAAAAAGTAGGACATTCTATTGCTTTAGGACACATACACTAAATAAGTATTACATTAATACATTAATATTTTAAATAAATAAATAATCTTTTATAATAAATTATAAACATAAAACAAAAAAAAAAAAGCTTAATTTCTTATTTCAACGAACAAAAACAAATTTAAAAAAAAACACATCATTTTTTATTTGTAATAAAAAAATTGGTTGATTAGCTTGGTGTATAGAGTAGTCTCATATATCAGAAACTAGGTTGTATAGAAGTAAGACACGAGATACGAGAACGTACAAATACGAAAATCTTTAAAAAGTAGGACATTTATTTGCTTAGGACATGCTATATTAAATAAGTAATATATTCATATTTCAATTATAAACATATTAAAAAAACACTTCATTAATAAATTATAAACATAAAATAAAAAAACTTAATTTTTTATTTCAATGACACAAAAAAAAAATAAAAAAAACACTTCATTTTTTATTGGTTTATAAAAAAAAACCTTGGTTGATTAGATTGTTATATTGAGTAGTTTCATATACCAGGAGCTAGATTGCGTGAACACGGGACACGAGATACAGGAACGTACGGGCATGACAATTTTTAAAAAGTAGGATATCCACACGCTTAGGACACACTGCACTAAATAAGTAATACATTAATATTTCAAAGAAATAAATAATCATTTATAATAAATCATAAACATAAACATAAAATAAAAATATTTAATTTCTTATTTCAACGAAACAAAATAAATTTAGAAAAAACACTTCATTTTTTATTGGTAATAAAAAAATATTGATTGATTAGTTTGATGTATGGAGTAGTCTTATTTACTAGGAGCTAGATTGCACGGACATGTTACACGAGATACGATATTTTTTAAAAAAGTAGGACATCCACACGCTTAGAACATATTATACTAAATAAGTAATACATTAATATTTTAAATAAATAAACAATCATTTATAATAAATTATGAACATAAAAATACTTAATTTCTTATTTAATTACACAAATAAATTTTTAAAAAAAGTTTTATTTTTATTGGTAATAAGAAAAAATCTTGGTTGATTAGCTTTGTGTATGGAATAGTCTCATATACTAAGAGCTAGGTTGCACGAACACATGATGCAAGCTACGAGAATATACGAGATGCAATAATTTAAAAAAAAAAAAGAACATTCACACGCTTAGGACACATTACACTAAATAAGTAATACATTAATATTTCAAATAAATTATAAACATAAAATAAAAAAGACTTAATTTTTTATTTCAATGAGACAAAAATAAATTAAAAAAAACACTTCATTTTTATTGGCAATAAAAAAAATCTTGGTTGATTAGCTTGGTATGATTAGCTTAGGTATATAGAATAGTCTCATATACTAAGGAACTAAGATGCACAACACAGGATGCAAGAACGAGAATATCTGGGATACAATAATCTAAAAAAAGTAGGAACATCCACACGCTTACTTAGGACACACTACATTAAATAAGTAATACATTAATATTTCAAATAAATAAACAATCATTTATAATAAATTATAAACATAAAATAACAAAGACTTAATTTTTTATTTCAATGAGACAAAAATAAACTTAAAAAAACACTTCATTTTTTATTGATAATAATAAAAAAAAAATCTTGGTTGATTAGCTTAGTGTATGGTGTAGTCTCATATACCAAGAGTTAAGTTGCATAGATATGGTACACGAGATACGAGAATATATATGATACGATAATTTTTAAAAAATTAGGACGTTCACACGCTTAGGATACATTAAATAAGTAATATATTGATATTTCAAATAAGTAAACGATCATTTATAATAAATCATAAGTATAAAATAAAAACACTTAATAAATCATAAAAAATACTTAATTTTTTATTTCAATATAATTAGTTAAATTCTTAAAATTATTGTCACTATTGAAAAATACTTTCAGTGTGTATGCATTTTTTTTATATAAGTCATAAAGTCATTTACCGTATATGACTTTTACTATTGTATACTATATAAAAAGACTTTGCCCAGAGATATTTAAGAAGGGCACTCTTAGCATTGCAACTTTTCAGCACTATCTCAATGAGATCACAATTTATCTCATTATCATATAATTTTCTATTTGAATGATGTTATAAAAATATTATTGTTATAAAATATTATTTCATTCTTTAATAGTATTCCGAATATCGCGCGGGTTCTAACACTAGTAATATATAAAAGCAGAGAAGTCTATCTTAAATAACAGCCAAGTGTAAGTCTCTCAAATTGCCAAGTGTAAGGAGATCAGTTATTCAGCGTAATTGTAAAGAGATGAATTGTAATGACATCAATTATAAGAAGATTAGTTCTTTTATATTTTCAGATAATATCATATAAGGGGAAAAAAAAAAAGAAAACTAAATTAATATTAATAAACCAAAACTATTTTATTTGAAAATAAAAAAATATAAGGAAAATAATTTCGATAATTTTCTCTTCAAATTACAAGAAAAATAAAAACATTAAAATAAATTTGTGGAGAAACATTAATTTTATTTTTCTTTTATATCCAACATAAAAAGTAACATAAGTTTTTTTGCGAAAAAAAATTTAGTTTCTTCTTATTTTTCTAATCATTCATTAATAAAAAAAAGATACAAAAATAAATTAAAAAAAAAACTTTATTTTTTTTAGTAATAAAAAAATCTTGGTTGATTAGTTTGATATATGAAGTAGTCTCATATACCAGGAGTTAAGTTGTACGAACACGGGATACGAGATACAAAAACGTATGTGATACGATAATTTTTAAAAAAGTAGTACATCTATACGCTTAGAACACACTACATTAAACAAGTATCATACATTAATATTTTAAATAAATAAACAATCATTTATAATAAATCATAAACATAAAATAAAAAATATTTAATTTCTTATTTCAATATAATTTAATTTCTTATTTCAATATAATTAGTTAAATTCTCAAAATTATTATCAGTAGTGAAAAATACATTAATATTGTGTATGTATTTTTTTATGTAGGTCATACTAGAAGTGTCAAAATCAGTCATGACAGGTGAGCACGATTCGCCTAACACACAAAATAAATGGGTTAGGGTTGAGGTTAAACAAGTTCGTGTCATAAACGAGTTACCCATTTTTGATACAAATATAAACGTGTCGTGTCACGGGTTGACACGCAGTTTAGGGGAGTGACCATTTTATTTAAGAGTAAAGAAGTAATTTTAGTGTAAGATATAAATACTTCAACTAAAACCTATTTAAATTTTATTGTTGTATTACTTTTTTGTTTTAGTTATGAATCTTGAAGAATTTATGCATTTTATGTGTGAAAATTTATTTTTAAATATGATTGAGATAAATAGATTAAAATTTAAAAATACTATAAACAGGTTAAGTGAGTTGTATATAGGTCAACATGACCCACTTAATCCTATTTATAATATAAGCTGTTATATGTGTTGTATATGGGTCAACACGACCCACTTAAGCCTGACACGACCCACTTAACCTGTTTATAATATTTGACGGGTTAAATATGTTGTGTTCATGTTACCTGCCTAATTTTCGTGTCGTGTTCATGTCGATTTTATAAAAGATTATTTCATCATTTAATATTGCTCCACACATGGCGCGAGTTCTAACACTAGTAATAATAGAAATTTTGTATTTTAAAAATTTTATGGTTAAATATGAGAAGAATGCAAAAAGATAGTAAATTATGAAAGTCGCCAGTGATCTCCAGTGGTGGTTAGTGGTGAACAGTGACTGGTGGTAATGGCTATCGATGATTAATAAATTAAAAAAAAAAAAAGATTTATAAGATTACAATAAGTTTGTCGATGTCGGGAAAATGTTTTACTCTCCTGAAATGAGAAATCATTTTCTTTAAAAATGATTTAATTTTCCTTTGATCAGGAAAATATTTCCCGTTGATTTATTTTCTTGAACAGCCCAAATAATAAAAAATTGTGAAAAATATTTTTCTACAAGTGATTTTACGGAAACAAATGGACCTTAATTCAATACCAATTTAAAAAACCTAATTCGATTATTAGCTATCTCTTCCTCAAATGAATAAATAAATAAAAATACTATCTATTTAAAATTCAGAAAGAAATATAATTTAAGGAGATTCCTAATTCTTGTAACCTTTCTTGGAATGACTGATTTACGCTTTTTTTTAATTGGAAATATTCTATTTCTACTCAAAAAAAAAAAAAAAAAAAAAAAAAAAAAAAAAACAAAAAAGGGGTCTTTGCACTCTAAAAGCTCGAAGTAACCTTACAAGAAATATACAATATGAAAAATAACCATAATTAAGTTTATAACCAAGAGATAAATATATACCTGGCTACTGGAGTTATTAGCATAGCTATGAAGGCCATGTCCACCATTCATTGGATATGCCTTTGACAAATTCCCATTCTCCATAATGCTAATCTTGGCTCAGATCTCTCCCTCACAATCTTTCTTTTACAACTAGGCTCTCTTATACTGATTATACTGGCTTTAATTATATATACACACAGTCTTCAACTCTAGCTTGGTTGATCAAAAAATTTCACATTATATTATATCGATAGAGATTGAAAATTTTTGAATTCGAGTCTTGAAATTTAATATAATAAATTTTTATTAATTTATTGTGAATTATTAGAGGGAGAATCACCTCTATTTGTATATCACAATTCTTTAATTCAATTCAAAAATTATATAAAGAAGCATACAAAAGTGGTCCAATGTGAGATTTAGGTTTTGACAAATGATGTGTTGATGAAGAAGTTTTCTGCTAAAACCAAATGTTAATTTTTTTTAATTTAAATTTAAATTTAAATTTTTTATTTTTTATTTTTATTTTATTTTTAAACCAAATGATGTGTTGTAGGTATGTTTGCTAGTGGAATTCAATTATTTCTACATAAAATATATAATAACTTCATAACACATGAAGAAGATCTGTTTGTCCAAAGTTGTTTAACAATTGCATTTGGATGGTACTTGTACAGAAAGATGGAGTTTTCTACATGGTATATTCCCTTCCTAATTTTATTTCGTTTCAAATTACTGTAATTGATTATGGGTTCGAGAATTTAAAAAAAAAAAAAAAAAAAAAAAAAAAAAAAAAAAAAAAAAGAAAAAAAAAAAAAAAAAGAAGAAGAAGAAGAAGAAGAAGAAGGAGAAGAAGAGAACATGTACTTCCAACATTAAACTAACTTTATTATCGATTGACATACATAATACTCCCTCGTTCTATTTTGTTTGTTTATTATTCCTTTTTAGATGTCCCAAATGTTTCAAGGTTTCTAAATTTAGATATATAAATAATTATTTTTCTCATAGTAACTTTTATGATTGCTTCTTAAATAAAGAACTTTTATTAATATCTTAATGAATTAAGAGTAAAAAATGACAAAATAATTTTTATCGATTAAATTCTTAATATGCATGTTTTATTAATCAATGTAAACAAAATGAGACGAAAGGAGTAGTTAAATTCACATCTGTTTACATAAATACAATGTTTTAATTGATCCAAAATTTTGAATTTATATGAAATATGACCATATATAATATATTATATATATATATATATAATATATATATTTATAATATTTATAATATATATATATATATTCCAGAGCGCCGATGAAATTTTTTTTTTTAAAATAAAAAATTTAAATTGAAATATATTTTTATAATATTGGTTAAATTGAAATATATTTTTTATAATATTGGTATGTAGAATTTGAATGTAAATATAAAATAAAATTTCACATTTTAATCCAAATAACAAATTTTAATTTTCTTAATTTTTTATTTATTAATCATATAGTTTAATAAAAATATTAAATTATTAAATTATTTTTTGTTACATTTTTTTAAAATTTAATAATTTGTAAAAGAAATCTCCTATGTAATTTTTAAATTAAGTAGTTTAGATGTATTTAGAACTATTAAATTAGTAAATAATTATTTTCTTTTTGGAATAATGTTGAAGTAAATTGTATAAATTTACAAGATAGTTTGATTATTTTCTGTAGTTTCTGATTTTGTATTGTAATTTTTATGAACTTTTGGGGAAAAAAAAATACCTCTTACTGGGCTAGAATTTCAAATTTGCGACAAGGAAGGAAACTTATCAAATACTATATAAACTTAACTTTTTGAATAAAAAAATATTTATTTGTATTTAGATAAGTATATATTTGAAAAAATAGTGAATTTAAATTTGTTAAATTTATATTTTAAGTGATCTTTGAAATTCAAATGGTAATGAATTTGAATTTAAATTTTAAGTTATTATTATTTTTTTAAAAATAAAATGGAACCTCATTAAGCAATATAGATAACAATGCTTCAACAAAAAATGGAGAAAGGATTGCTCTCGTGCTTCAAGAATAAATGGAGAAAGGATTGCTCTCCCATCCTAGGATTTTACATTTGCACTCTGTTTAGAACAAATAAATTTTAATGATTTTGTAGAATTTATTTAAAAATACACGTTTGTATTTAGAATGAAAAAAATATAGATTTCAATTTTATGAATTCAATTTCATAGAATGAACATAACTGTACTAAATCCCAAAAAAATAGGTGGAATTTTCAAATGAATTCTACAAAACTATAAGCAACTCAAATTTTTATGACAAAACTACCCTTCTCATTCTATAAAGTGAAATTTTCAATTATTTTACTTATGTAACTTATTTATTTTATCAAATTTGACAAAAATCATTTAAATATTTTATTTTTTTCAGAAAAATATTTTCTTATTATTTTTTATTTTAATATTTCTCATCTTTTGTTTTAATATTTTTTAGCATGTCTTTTACTATTAAGGAGACAGAATGATTCAAGTTAAATATATATTTATCACCCAATTAAATGTAATGCTGTCTTACTATTAAGGAGACAGAAGCACTGATCTCAAGTTAAATATCATTATATTTTATCACCCAATTACAATGTATAATTTATAATTACTTTTATTTTATAGTATTTTTAATAAAAATATAAAACAAATGTATGAGCGCAATAACATAAAGATATTGGTTATTTATTAATTTTGTGAAATTACTATTTTCAAAATATTTTAGGAAACAAAAGGATAACATAAATATAATTGGTATTTATTATTTATTTTTGTGAAATTACTATTTCAAGAATATTTTAGGAAACAAAAGCAAATGAATTTTCAATTATGATTTATTCCATACATGATTATATGGAATTCAATTGAATTATGTGTTTTAAATTAACCATACTAAACATGAATAATTCATTTACAAATGAATTCATTCACAAATTAATTTCATATTTTGAATTTATTTATACCAAACAGAGTGTTAACAAATTGAAAGCAAATACTAGAAATCTTAGAAGTTATAGATACAAAATAAGAAAAATTATAAAACAACACTTAGTTGTTAATTACTCTTCCTCCAAGGAAGAAAGCCATAGGGTGCAAGTGGATATTCAAAGTTAAATACTTATCTGATGGAACTATAGAATGATATAAATCCAAACTAGCAGTCAAAGGCTATAGCCAATTACTTGCCTTAGCGCTAATGAGAATATTCTTAGCTATTACCATAGCTAGAGGTTTAGCATCTTCATCAATTAGATATAAACATGCATATTTGCAAGGTTATATTGATGAAGAGATATATGTCTCCTCCTAAAGGGTATACAAAAGCAAACTCAGGTCAAGTTTGCCAACTCCTGTAGTCTTTCTGTGGGTTAAAACAAGCTGGGAGATAGTGAAATAAAGAGTTTACTTCCAAGTTGAAAATTTATGGTTTTCAACAATCTCTATATGATTATTATATTTACAAAAGGGTCAGGACCACTTTCATAGCGTTATTAGTTTATGTAGATGATGTACTTCTAACTTGTGCTTATCCAGCTCTTCTTATATTTACAAAAGGGTCAGGACCACTTTCTGATTTTTGATTTAATAAAAATTCAAAGTTTTCGAAAATAAAAATTTAAAATATTTCATTATGGCACGCTGATTTTGTAAATGACCAATCATATAAATTTTGATAACATTATACACATATTTCATACTAATAGCAATAGTTTTTAGGATTTTTTGGCTTTATATACAAAATATTAATTAGGTGCGTAATTAGTATAATTTTTAAAATAATAATTTTCACATTTTTTAACTATATAGTAAATGTTAAATTTATCTAATTTTGCAAATTGAAGTATTCAATAAAATAATTTTACACATTGAAGTGTTTAATAACTGTAATTTTATAAATTGAAGTATTTAATAGGTCAAAGTAAAAATTGAGAGTGTCACAAAATTAAAGTGACAAAACTTAAAGGTGAATTTATGTATTGAGCCGTTTTGAATTTTATTTTTTTTCAAATCAAATTACTGTAATTGATTATGGGTATTGAATTCTTAGTTTTCGACATGGTGTTGGAGAATTGAAAGTAAAAACGAGAAGAAGGAGAAGACGATAACATGGGTCCAACATAAAAACAATTTTATTATCAATTGAGGTATAGCCAAATCCATAGATTGAACTCTTGTAATAAATATACTCCTAAAATGTAAAAGTACAAGTTCACAATTGAATTTTATAAAATTATTTCATTTTAAGGAGGATATAGTTATCATTGAAATGAGAAAGTATAGGGTACAAGAACGGAAGTTAGAATTTATAAAAGAGGAGGGCAAACTACTATAAAAATTTATTAAGAGAATATTATGAAAAAAAGGAGGGGGCAAAATGGTTAAATATGTTTTAAAATTTTCTCTATGCCAAGGTTAGAATCACAAAGTTGTAAAGGGAAATTTAAAATAAAAAAAAAAAAAAAAAAAAAAGTGACCAAGGTGTTCAGACATCTCACAAAGTTGTAAAGGGAAATTTAAAATTAAAAAAAAAAAAAAAGAAAAGAAACAGCAATTGCCCTCTCCTCCACTGTGTAGTTTCGTCTATTGATAGGATAATGATAGGACCCGTCATGCAAAAAAAAAAAAAAAGAAAAGAAAAAGCAATTGCCCCTCTCCTCCACTGTGTAGTTTCGTCTTTGATAGGATAATGATAGGCCCTCTGCAAATTTAAGGGTGCTACAAAGCAAATCGCACAAACTTTAATGGCAAAATTATGCATTAGGCCATTGAGATCTATAATGGTTAAATTCACATCTATTTACATAAATAAAAGTTTTGATTGACCAAAAATTTTGAATTTATATGAAATATGGCCATATATATTATCAATTCAAATATAAATTCTTCCAAAGCTTTCGAATGAAACTTTAAAATACAAACTTTAAATTGAAATATATTTTTTATAATATTGATATATAGAATATGAAATGTAAATATAAAATAAAATTTCACATTTTAGTACAAATATCGAAATTTCCTTTTCTTATTTTTTTATTTTTTAATTATATAGTTTATTAAAAATATTAAAATAAAAACTTCCTATGTAATTTTTTAAACTATGTAGTTAAGATGTATTTAGAACTATTAAATTAGTAAATAATTATGTTTCTTTTTGGAATAGTGTTGGGTTAAAGTGTGTTTAGAAGAAAAATTTTTGTATTTTTTATTTTGTATTGTTATTATTATGAACTTTTGAAAAAAAAAATTGCTCTTACTAGTCTAGATTTCAAATTTGCCACCATCAGTAAAGGAAGGAAACTTATCAAAAAACTATATTAGCTTAATTTTTTAATAAAAAAAATATTTATTTGTATTTAGATAAGTTTATATTTGAAATAATAGTGAATTTAAATTTGTTTAAATTTATATTTTAAGTGATATTTAAATTTGAAATGGTGGTGATTTTGGAAAATAATGGAGGAATGCTTGCTCTCCCAGGATTTGACACTAAATGAGCAGCCGTAGCAAGTAAGTGCGCTACCACATTTACAAACCACTTTAGCAAATTGAAAGCAAATGCTAGAAATCTTAGAAGTCAAAGAGACAAAATCAGAAAAAAAGAAAAAAAAAAATTGTTTGAGCACTGTAAAGGGCTAAAATGACAAGCAGGTCTACTTCATTTTTTGTTGACTTGGCATGGTGACGTGGTATTAACGGTGTCAAACATGGACCCCAATAGTTATAATGTCAATAATTTTTAACACACATATAATGGACGCCGTAATTGCAAACTGCCACAATTGCCGAAATTAGGACGGACGGACTAAAATTGTAAAAATAATCAAAGTTGAAGGTTTTTTTTTTATCATTTAGCCTGTTATTAAGGTAGTCCACAGTTGATGTGGTAAACTATATTGACTTATATTTCTTTTTTTTTTTTTTTAAATCTTTATTAGGAAAAATGAAGGAGGGAAGAAGGAAGAATTAGATTTCTTTCTCACTTATACATTAAAGGATCCTATACTCTAAATCTAGTTGCAACTTAACTTCTAGATCAAAATTGTCTACTCAATCTTCCCCACGTTTGTGTTTTCATCTTAACTACAAACTATCTACTTACATATTATCATTGTTATCATCATCAGTGCCACCCCTTTAGCTTACTCTTCTTTTCAGATCTTTTCTATTCATGATCATTTCACTTTGCTATCTCATCCATTTAGCCCCATGATATAATAGACAACTTTTGAAAAAAAAAAATCTATATAAATAGTCATTTTAAATTATTTATCATAATTCTATATAAATAGTCATTTTAAATTATTTATCATAATACAATTCAAATTCAAGATGAGATTTTAAATTCAAATAAAAAGTAAATAAAATGACATAAAATTTATATTTTGGATAATCTCAAAAAAATTCAGTAGCTGAGCTGACTATTTGGTTACATACTCCTAATCCTTAAAATTACTATCTATGTTTATGAATCTGCCCCACCAATGAAAATCCTATTATATTCAACACAATCCTACCTACCGATAGGAACATAGGTCACATGAAAAGTAGTGTACTGGGTGATCAGGCCAATCCACTACTATCCAAATATTACTCTATTCCCTAGCCTAAAGATTGATACTAGCTCTGGCCCCTATAAGTATTGTGATAGACTTATCTTATTGTTCACTACTTTCACTTCAAACCTCTAATTACTTCTTCTATAATCACTGATATGCGTAATAGGTGTGGATTTTCCCACCTCATATTTCCCACCTCATAAGGTCTAGTGCGTCCACCATCCCTAGGAAGGAAAATCACAAAGTGTCTTTCCTTATGTTGGTTACGGCCGATCCCAACAAAAGAAATTCCCTATGCTCCTTAGTTGTGTCCTAAAATTCTAACCTAAGCCGTTATACCAACTTTGTCACGACCCGAAACCATCGGCCGGAACGGCACTAGGACCCAGGTAAGTTTAAGGCCCCGAGGCCTGTAGTAAGCCTAACTAAAAAAAAAAAAAAATAGATCTATTTCTATCAATAGTAAGATTCACAGTATTCAAGCCGCATATTGCCATGCCGAAAAATAGAACCTCGATACTTTATTAATCTATCATGAATTCGGCCCCAACATATATAACATCTTAAAGACATTTACAAAATTGCACAACCTACAATACAGCAACATTTAATAATATGCGTCTCACACGAATTATTCATCGTATATTGAATTACATGACTAAATGAAGAGTTATTTCACTATATATATGAATTTCCCTAGAAAATTGTAGGTATTATATACTATAGTAATATAATAGCTGTAATACCTATACTTAGTGATTATATGAAATCTGAAGAAAAGGCAGAGCAAGCTTTCTTGCTATATATATGAAATCTGAAAGAAAATGCAGAGCAAAGCTTCTTCTTATTTAATGGCGTCGCTTGAGAAGGATGAACAACCCAACGGCAAAAGGATCAGCAGTTCTTTCTGAGTAAAGCTCTGCAAATCTTACCTCATATCTCTTGAATAGCTCTTCTGTAAGTTCATTTCCAAAGTGGGCTTTGAGAATGGTTTCAAAGCCAGACCTAGTCTCTCTTGGATTAGGTATTGGGATGGCAGATTTTGCAGGTATTTTTTCCAGTTTTGTGATGCTAAATTGACCATTTTTTTGTATTAAATTTATTACCTCTTCTATTGAGGGGTTGTACATAGGCAAGTTGAACGAGTCTATTTTATCCCAGCTTAGTATTCCCTGAAGAGTTAAAAACCAAAAAACAAAAGAAAAAAAAAAAGTTATGATAAACCCAAATGAATGGAGGGAAAGAGTAATTAAAAAAAAGGAATAATATTTAGAATCTCAAACTTGAACAAATATTTTATGTTTTCACTTTTCTATAACTATGGCCACCTATATATAATCATTTTTAAAATTGCCTTACTTTTTCATATCTCATTTTTAGGGATGAAAGTAGAACGGGTATTTAAGGATGTTCAATCCGATCCGTTTATTATAGATTTTGATAGTTATAAACGGAAATGGATATAGACAGTAAAATTACAAACCGTGATGGATTTGAATAAGATACGGATTTCGGTCAATGAATATTCATTACCCGCTACGATTCATTTAATTAAACAGATTAAACTTTTAATTTTTATATGTATCATGTTCATATTGAAATTATTAAATGATTACTATTCATGTTGACCCTAATTAAGTTAGGGAGTTAAATAGATTTGTGTCAAACTTCACGTGCTAACCCATTTTAATACCCCTAGATTTACTCATATATTAAGTCACCTAATGAAGGTATATATGACAAAGGAGCGATCTTTATCTTTTTTACGAGAAAAAAAAATGGATAAACAAATAATAATTGGTGATAATTTTTTAAAATAGTAATTTTTTTTTTTTTTTTTTTAATGGTTGATAATTTTTTTAAAATAGTAATTTATTTTTATTTTTTTTTGTATTAATTATGAGCGGTAATTCAATATCTCGATTATGCCATTATGTATTTATATCATCTTAAGGTTATGCATTTAATGTGCTCTAAATAGCAAATATCTAATTATCTAACCAATGACAATTACTTCGATGTTGACCTATATAATAGTGAAAGTCAGAAATAGTAATGCTAAACGAAGTCATCTTCAAGATTGTCATCCAAAACTTGTCGTAATTTGGAATAAATTTTTTCTATGATTATATTTCAATTTTTTTTTTTTTTTTTTTGTATTAAGAGAGGGTATTCAAATCTCGATCTACCGTCAGATTGTATATGCATATGTATTTATCACTAGGTTATGCATTAATGTGCAAAATAGCAATTAATTATTAACAATACAAATTAAGTGATGTTGATATATAAAGTGAAAAGTCAGAAATAGTAGATGCTAAAGAAGTCATCTTCAAAGATGTCATCAAAATTGTTAATTTGGATAAATTTTTTAGATTTATTTCATGATTAACAAATAATCTTTCAAATGATTCCTATATGAGGTTGTGTGTATATATATATATATATTCAAATGAAATGATAAATAACATTTAAAATTGCATCATTTTGGCATACCTCATTGGCCATATCAACCAGGCAAGATTCCAATGGAAGAAACAGTTGTCCAAGTGAAAATTCTGAAGGAAGAGTTCCATTAGGCCTTCCTGGAATAAGCAAAGCCATTAATCCACCAGGAACAATCTCTTCTGCTCTACCACTTAAAAATGATTCCATATCTGATCCATATTGAGCAGAATATGCCTCACAAACTTCATTTGGTGCATTTGCATAATGAATTCTTCCTTTATTGCAAATTCCGGAACTCAAGTCACTTAACTCTGGTGGTGCCCTGGAAAGCCAATGGAGTGCAAAAGCTGAATAGGCAAAGTTTAAAGATGATCTTGGAAATAATCTGCCATGAAAGGAGCCTGGAACTCCATAACCAAAATATTTCCTATCTGAAGGAAAATTGGTAAAAAGGGTATTGAAATCATTAGAAAGATGATCATTGAAATACACTTGAAATTCTGGTAGGAGATTGTCATTATAGCCTTTGGTTTTGGTTTTGTATGCGTTAATGACTCCTCCTATTATGTTGTTGACTGAAATGAATGTATTTGGCCCAGTTGAACAACCCAGATCAGCAACTGTAAATAGATTTGAAGAATTGTGTTCTATTTCAAGATTTTCAATAATTCCTTCAAGCAACATTGATTTTGCTGCTTCTGCTCCTTCTTTCTATATGGGAAATGCACGAGATTCAGAATTCAACAGTGATTAATCCAATAATAATATAATTAATATCCAATTAATCCTAATAATTCAGAATTCAATAGACTGAAATAATATTATCGACTATACAACAACAGTAATCATCCCATATAGGGGCATATGTGAGCCGAGCCGGCTGGATAGCTATTCAAGCTCAGCTCGAGAAAAGTTGAAAAAAATTTGGTTTGAATCGAGCTCGAGCCCAAAATTTTCAGGCTCATCGAGTTTCGAGCCTAGCTTCAAGCCTTGTTCACACTCTTAATCCTCTTGGGTCACAAAATTGGTGAAAACTCTTGTGGTCGAAGACTTAAACTTGATACCTCTCACCCCCGGAGATTTGATCTCAAGACTTCTCACTCGTTACAGAAGTGAGAATATTAACCAGACCACATTTAATTGCCAGAAAAATATTTTTAACCTTTGAAATTAAACTTACCTGTTTAGTAGAGTTGTTAGTGTAGCTGTAAAGGCCAGTGCCACCGGTCATGGGGAACGTCTCTGCCATATTTCTTGTAATCTGCAGGAGAGATTACAACGTTTATCTATTTACTTGGAAACTAAAATAAATAGACACACAAAGTCAGAGCCGTCCTAAGGGTAACGAGGTTGTAGTATTGTTTCAGAACAATGATTTTGGAATCTGGTTTTCGTCATTTAATAATTGTTTTACTCTAATATTTAAATAATTAGTTACAATCATAGCAGTATTGACCATTGACAAAAATCCATGAAGAAAGTTGTGGTGGAGGTGAGTGATGGGAAAAGTTGGATTTAGTGATGAATTGTTACAGGTCAAATGCATCAATTTATCTATGAATTTTATGAAAAGAGTTTTTATGACACTTTAAATTTTATGAAGGAACTTATTATGTTTTTAAAATTACGAATTTTGGCAATATTGTATTCTTCTCCATACTAATAATAATAAATTTTTTGTGTTTTTGATATTTATATGCGAAATATTTACTTGATATGTGGTTATTATAATTTTTTCTATAGTAATTTTCACATTTTTTTTACATATACAATAAATATTTAATTGATCTAATTTTACAAGTTTAAACGTTCAATAGAATAATTTTTACATGTTAAAATATTTAATGGTTGTAAGTATTGAAGTGTTGAATAGTTCAAAATAAAAGTTGAGGTTGTCATAATTTATTTTTATAAAATATATGGATGAATTTATGCATTATGCTAGTAATTACAAAATAACTAGTTTCCAATGTTGATATTTTTCAAAAAGTTGTTATTTTTTTGTAACTAGTTATGCATCCAGTATGCGAATTATATAATTTTATATTTTTAATCAATTTGAATGGAGTATTATAATTCAACTCATATAATTATTTACTTTTTTTATGAAATTCTCATATATTCAATTGAAATATTTATTAATTTATTGATTTTTTATAATTAGATAAGATATAAGAAGATTTAATTATAATGCAATAAATTTTAATAATGAATTGAAATTATATTTTTTCATTAATTAACCGCATTATTATAACTCTATTATTTAATTAATATTTATTAATGATAACTCTGTTAGATTTCATTAGTTTATAACTCGATTATTTAATAAAAAAATTATTTTTTATTAAATGTGAACTCCATTAGATTCCATTAACTTAATATTTATTAAATGAAAAAAAAATAGTAATGTCATATCATTATTTTCATACTCCAATATCATTTTCATACTCCACTATGCTGTCACATCGTCACTCTATACTCTAATATGTTATCACGTCATCATCCATATTTAAAAATTATATATTTATATGGTATAGATATATGGCTTGAACTGTCAATATTTTATTTATTTTTTAAGAATTTGTAAAAAGTGAATATTTTTTGTAAAGTTGTTGGATTACAAAATAATAGCTTTGGCTGCTAATATTTTATAAGACTTTCTAATAATTTGTAAAAAATTGTTATTGTTTAGAAAATGATTGGATTACAAAATACTAGCTCTGGCTCTCAAAATTTTATAATAGTTTCAAATATCTTTTAATGTATGATTATTATTTTTGGTTCTAACTTTTAATTTCACTCCGAATTTTTTGAACAGTTATAATTTCACTCTAAATTGTCCTTTTTACTTTGGGCACATGAACTTATCAGAAATTACACTCTAATTTGAATTAATATTCAACTCAATATTTTTACATCTTAAAATTGGTTGAATTGTAAAATCAAATACTCAATCTTGATTTTTTTATTTATTATATAAATATTTAAGTTTGATTTTATTATTTTTTTGTTTAATTGATTAGGTATGGAATCCAATTTTTTAAATTAATTTAATCAAAAATCAAACCTTAGTTTTTTTAGAGTGCAATTATAACAAATTGACTCAGGGTGTTGTAATTTACTTTTAGGGTGTAATTATACTCTAAAAATAAATTAGGATATAATTACAACTAAGTTGATAAGTTCAGGATGATGCTCAAGATACAAAAATCAATTTAGATGAAATTGCAATTAGTCTAAAAGGTTAGGTGAAATTAGAGATTGATTGCCAATGACTTGGGTTTAATTTCACTTGTTGTCCGTCAATTATACATAATTTCTCAGACATCTATCAGATGGACTCTCCCATGTGAACACAATTTCTCTTTTCTGCCCAAACATTAATCATCTTCGCCCCAAAAAATGAAGTTCTTAAGCCACCATCTCCCAAACCTCACTGACCCACCAAGAAAATTTTGCAAAGAGTAATAATAGATAGATATCAACTTTTTTGACCAATAGAAAAAGTTAGGAAAAACAAAAAAGCATTTAAATCTATTTCTTTGTGTTGGCATCAACAGAAGTGTTAATTTTTGTGCAAAAAGATAAAAGAAGCACAGATCTCTATAGACATAGAAAATCAAGTGATAAAAAAAAAAGTTAGAAAATCTAATAATCATGCTCTACCAGCCTATCAAGGCAACAAAAGAATGAAGAACAGAAAACTTTTAATTTTTGTTTTTTGTTCTCTATCTATGCAGGCTTGTTTCTTTTATGGCTAGCTTTGCCATTAGATTTCAAAATCTTAGACAAGCCATGTACTAGTGATACTCTCGAATCCGTAGTCAATCAAGTTACATGCTTACCTCAACGCAAGCTTGGTCTGGATGCATGTGGATCAGACGAGCTTGTTCCATGGTTCGAAAATCACCTAGTAGTCGCTGCCGCGGCCTGTTCGACTACCATGACTATGGACGCTTAGTCCTTTGCTCTAATCGGACTACTGGTGACCGCAAAAAGCGAGTGGAGTCTATGCCGGCACTAAGCAACTGTTTGGTAGTAGCAGAGACCAAAACGTGAGTTGTGGCTCATGAGGCTGACGGGAAGGCGTTGATGATTTGAAAGCTCCACTTTAATGTTAATGTTTGATATTTTCAAAGCTCCACGTAAAATTATCTGACTCAGGCCTGACATAAATGTTAATGTTCGCAAAGCTCCACGTTAGCTTTCCTTCCAACGTCAAATAGTTAAATTGACGGGTGCATTAAGGCTTGATATTTTCGTATAACAAATTGAAATTTGGCACGCAGATATAATGGAGTGTGTACTTGAGAACGGATGAAATTAAGTCCAATGTCTTGTAATGTTTTTAAATTTTTCGTGAAAGGTATCTATTTGTTATAAAAGCTGGTGGTCTACAAAATAATAAGTTTGATCCGCAAGTCAAACTACATCGCTGATGTAAATGCGCATATATGATTTGATAATATATTATATTTAAATTTACTTTCTAATACTCAAAAAAAAAGTTTAATTGTATATTTTCAAATATTTTTTAAATATATCTTTTTTATATAAAGATTGGTGGTTTACAAAATAATAGATCAAGTTGCTAATAACTTTTTTGTGAAGCTGTTGACTTATAAAATAACTAGACGAAGGTCTGTGCATTATAATAATTTTGTTGTAGTTTAATTATTCTTACACAATTACGAAACGCTTTTGTATCTTTCAAAAGATAAGATTCATCCTTTCATGTCTTTATCTACGAAGATTTAGTAATTTTATTTTTTAATTTCTCGTCCAATTACCATTTACCATTCAAAGAAGCAATATCTTTAATTTAATTTTGCTTACTCAAAACTGGTTGCCATTACAATGGTGATAGCTGGGATTAGACAAGTCATTACACTTGTTGCAGTTGAGAAGGTTAAGTAAAATCCATCAAAATATGTATTTTGATGGGCTGTTATGCTGCAATTCACATGAAACATCATAACAAACTGAGATAATATTAACTAAAAAGAGGAGTAATTAATTATTGACATACCCAATAATAAAAGCAATTAAAATACAAGAAATATTCTTTAACCAATGAAGATTTGCATGAACTTCTCTAAACAAAATTAACAAATCGATTTAGATTTATTGGGAGTAAGATTAAGAAGTTCTTAATTATTTATCTAAATATGTCTTATTTAAAAAATTTAAAAAAATTTTGAAGCCCTAATTTTAAGCTTTAATATTATATATGTAAAAAATGTATAAATTGATTTTATATATAAAGAGAGAGTAATTTAATTATTGACATAGCGAGTGAGAGAAGCGAGAAAATACAAAGAATATTCTAAACCAATGAAGACTTTGCGGTGCTTCTCCTAAACAAAATTAATAACCAAATCGATTTAGATTTATTGGCGGAGATAAGATTTAGAAGTTCTTAATATTTATCTAAATATGTTTCTTATTTTAAAAAATTTAAAAAAAATTTTGAAAGCAACTAATTTTAAGCTTTAATATATATAATGTAAAAAATGTATTAAATTGATTTTATATTATATATATTAATATATATACTATAATATATATATATATATATATAATATAAAATATAGTAGATTTATATATATTATATAACTAATATATATTATATATATATAAAAAACTATAGTTAGATTATATTTATTCACTTAATTTATTAATTTCAATTTTATGTTAAAACTCTAACTCTCGCCCACTATATGAAAAATTAAAAATTATTTTTAAATTCATTTTTTTTTAACTCTTAACTTCTTGTCATTTACACTAATCTTATAGTAGATTATATTTTTCACTAATTTATTAATTCAATTTTAGTTAAACTCTAACTCTCGCACTATATGAAAATTAAAAATTATTTTTAATTCATTTTTTTTAACTCTAACTCTTGCATTACACTAATCTTGATCGTGTTTTTGAATCTTAATATATATCAATTAAGTTGCGATAATCAAGTTAATGATAACTGCAATAAGATATATCCTAACTTTCAGTAGCGGATCAGTTCAAATAGTTAGGGGGTCAAAAAATAATTTTACTTAATTATGGGTGGCAAAGTTAAATTTTTTTTTTCAAAAATTTTACATTAAAAATTAATTGTTTTATTTTATTTTGGGCGGCCACAGTCCCTTGTCCCTTGGCCCTGGCCAGCATCCGCCCCTGCTAACTTTTGCATCACACATCTCTGCTTGATGACTATCATTTCAAGAAATCATATGAACTAAGATTCAAAATAATACAAAAATTCGATTAAATCAAAAAAATCATTTGAAAAATAATGAAAAATTGATTTAAGAGGATGAATATCTTTATAGTCCAAATAAAATTAAAAGAACCAGCCCAAAAAAAATTTTAAAAAAAATAAAAAAATATATAAAAAAGTGATACATAAGTGGATTGAAGTTTCATATTTTTTCCAACCTTTTTTTGTTTAGCAATGGTATGAATGAAAAAAAAAAGTGAGCCAATAAAAATAGAAACAAAGATAAACGAAATAGGATAAGAAGGAAAAGAATTTTACAGAAAAAAATAAAAGTTAAATCTTTATGGTCCAAATAAAATTAAAAAAAATATATAAAAAGACAAAAAAGAAAAAATATATGAAAGAGCTAATGTTATCTTTAATGAAGAAAAAATTATTCTGCAGTTTATAATCTGAAAAACAAAAATAGTAAAATTTAATATGAATATTAATAAATATATCAAAATAAAAAGAAACAATACAAACGAAGAAGCCAAAAATTAAAAACGGTTGTTGAATCAAATTGTGAGTGATTTGAAGAGAGAATAGTTAAAAGTCCAGAGTTACATAAATAATGTTCAACTAATAGACAAAGAGATCGCAAGTGAGTTTTTTTTTTTAAAAAATATTTTTAGATGATACCTGTAGTAAAGAAATTGGATTAGTTAAAGAGATTTAGAATTTGAATTTTTTTCAAATAGATTATTAGTGATAACAATGCAAATCATATTATTTTTAATCGATAAATAATTATATTTTGTCGTTAAAAATGAATTAAGAGTCTAGAAAATTTTTAAAAAAAGAAAAAAAGAAATTCTGAAACCAGAGGATGCCAATTCGGCATTTACAAAATATTTTTTGCTTAAGGATTATATATATGTGTGTGTGTGTGTCTTGTTACAGATGTTTGTAATACTTTCTACAATTTTTGAAATGTGACTTTTTTATTGTTGTAAAGGTTGGTTTACAAAATGATTTGTCTTGTAAAATAAATACCTATTTTATTTTGTGAAAGAATTATTCATAAAATAATAGATCCAATCATTAATTGTGGAAATGAAGAGAAATAATAAGATTTTCGATAATATTTTTATTTAAATTTAAAATATCTTAAGATAACTTTAGTGATGTCCAATTAAAAAAATTTTTAACTTAAAAATAAATATAATATTTCTAGATTTGATTGGATGTTTTTTCAAGAGATAGATATACATGGGTTATGTTCAGCAACAATTTTTTAAATAGCTTTCCGCGTTTTAACCGATTAATTACTTTTTAATATTCGGTAACATAACGTTTTAACTAGCTATTAAAGATTAAAAAACAGTTAACTCATACAATATTAACTTTTAGCGTTTTATGAAAAACTACTCAAATAACTAAATCCATACAACATTTAACTTTTAACATTCGTGAAAAGTTATTAAAACAGCTAATTAAAAACTGCTAGCAAACCAACTAATTTTACTGAATGGTCCCATAAATATAAATAATTAAGCTTTTCAAATTATTTTTTAAAATGGTAAGGAGGCATTCAATAAATATTAATATCCTTCCATATTTTGATTTTATATAATTAATTAAAATTGACACTTCATGTTTGATTATTTATTCAATTCATAATCAATAAAATAATTATCTTTCCAGATTTAATAAGAACTCGAAATTGAATAATTAATCGGAATTGTCTTCTAACATTTTATGTTTTTCAAAATTGACATTTGATATTCGATTAAAAATTAAATAATTAATAAAAGATTCGGATAAGTTTGCTAAAATTAGAAATTCGCAATAGAACTCTACAAAAGAATTTCTAAATTTCAGAACACTTTGCTTTTTTTTATTATAAGACCTAAGAAAAATGGAAATAATGAATTAAAAGCAATAAAACTTCCCAAAATGCAATGGAAAATTGAACACCAAGCCAAACTTACGGAATTAAGTAAGCTAAATTACAATCAAGTTGAGAAAGCTTTAATAGATAAAACTGATTATAATAAATATGATGTGGGTAAATCAGGTATATACTCTACATTCAGAACATCTAAAGCATCAATGCCTATGAAATGGGTATTAAGAACACACCGCACCAGCAACAATAGTACGTCTCTCCATATAACAACTACCCGATCCTCCACAAAATATCTGAATCGACTTATATTTTGAACGAGTTGTGGACATGCCGGCGCTCAAAAGTACACAAAAAAAAGAAGCTATCATTTTGACTCAGCCTGCAAGTCGAAAAAAGTTGATACAATGACGCCACAACAATATACTATGATCAAATTAACTTAGAAATGAGATTACTGAACATAAAATTTAAGAAGAATAGGTAAAATTGAAATTTGGAACAAATAAACATAGACTTATTCCTTAGTGCCAGTGTCAGTAGAAATGTTTATCTAACAAAAGAAAATACAGGCCAAATGACATTATTCAGTCCCTACATTAAGCAACCAATAGAGTCCTGAAAAGTGCATTGCATATCAAACAAGTTGAATACTATCCAAATTAAGTAATTTCAAGAAGCCTACTCCTACCGTACTACGGAATGATAAATTGATCTTGATCAAGACCAATTGGCTTATACTAACGAAGATTAAACTCTCAATCAAGTCATGACCCGTGACATTCATTTCCCAACATCCAAGACCAGGATATTTTATGTTCTCAATTTTGTTCCACATGCTAAAGCAATCAACACTCCAAATAACCTAGTCTTGTTAAACCTTTAAAATTATAAAAAGTTAAATTATCGTGTTTGGATGACAATAAAAGTTTCCAGGTAAAGTAGCAGAACCGTTGCAATAAATGTTATAATATAATTTAAAATTTCATTTTGTTTGCATATTATTTCTTTTTTAGATGTCCCAAAATGTTTGCAAAATTTCCAAATTGAAATATTTAAACTATTATTTTTCTTATAATAACATTTATGATTGTTCAATAAATAAATTTCTATTAATATCTTAATTAATGAGTTAAGAGTAAAAAAAAGACAAAATAACTTTTGTTAACTAAATTCTTAATATGAGTGTTTTGTCAAACCATGCAAACAAAATGGAATGGAGGAAGTATTAGCTTGTCTAGAAATCCAATTTTCCCACCCTTTCAGACAGGAAACTACTTTCCTATATACATGGGAAAGTAGGGCTGGTCCTACATGTCAGAAATTTAATATTCCTGGAAAAGTACCAATCAAATATCGGACTCCAACTTTCCCGACTCTAATTTTACTTGCTCACTTTCCCGTGAAATCTCAGCAATCAAACACCTTAAAAGGAAAAAATATGAGGAAAGGGCATAATTACCTCTAATTTCAAAATTGTTTAATATCTAGAACCTGAAGAAAGTTCTGTGACTTTCCCCACAGCAACTGTTTTCCCTGTAAGAACCAACACTCCAATTAAAGATGAAACCTAAAGAATAGGAAATAGCATGCATCAGCATTGCAATAAAGATATTCAGACATACCCTCAGTTCGAAGAGTGAACCGGCCAAGTTGTGGAAAATCAGCAAACGGCTCGATGCATATCATGTTATTTACCTGATAAAAAAATAAACAAACAAGGATAAGAAATAAGTATACACATTAATGAATAATTTTTTAACACCAACTTTGTATGAATTGGAAATATGAATATTGTTTATATTTGAATGTTCATACAGCCATGAGTGTTTGTATGCTACAGACATAAAAATTAATCATTGTTCACCCTTGAGAGAAAAATGCTGTAAGTGCTGAATCAAATACCTGAACACGGCACACAACAACAGCACCATTCTTCACGAAGAGAACTCTCTTCTTCATAGGTTTCTTTGTTTTTGGATCAATTTGTTGAAGCAGCTCAACTATCTCACATTCCTCAACTACAGAATGAATGTGCAGAACAGCCTTATAGCCAGGAAGAAAGTTCTGTGACTTTCCCCACAGCAACTGTTTTCCCTGTAAGAACCAACACTCCAATTAAAGATGAAACCTAAAGAATAGGAAATAGCATGCATCAGCATTGCAATAAAGATATTCAGACATACCCTCAGTTCGAAGAGTGAACCGGCCAAGTTGTGGAAAATCAGCAAACGGCTCGATGCATATCATGTTATTTACCTGATAAAAAAATAAACAAACAAGGATAAGAAATAAGTATACACATTAATGAATAATTTTTTAACACCAACTTTGTATGAATTGGAAATATGAATATTGTTTATATTTGAATGTTCATACAGCCATGAGTGTTTGTATGCTACAGACATAAAAATTAATCATTGTTCACCCTTGAGAGAAAAATGCTGTAAGTGCTGAATCAAATACCTGAACACGGCACACAACAACAGCACCATTCTTCACGAAGAGAACTCTCTTCTTCATAGGTTTCTTTGTTTTTGGATCAATTTGTTGAAGCAGCTCAACTATCTCACATTCCTCAACTACAGAATGAATGTGCAGAACAGCCTTATAGCCAGCTGTAAAAATTGCCTAGAACAACAGAAAAGTATCATAATTTAGTCATTATAATCATCAGTAAGGATAATATTAGAAAAAATCAGCATAATGATTATCCACAATGAGAAGGAAATAGAAGATGAAAGATGGACCAAAAAATTTAAACTCAAGCATACATTGTCGAGCAGTTCAAGAATCTGCAATTGAGCAACAAATTCTGTAACTGCAGCTATCGGCCTTGCTGCACAATGAAAATATAAAAGAACTGTGAATTACATAAAAGTAACGCCAGTGACCAAATTATAGTAAAATAAAAATCGCAGCACAAATCAGAGGGAAAATATTTTACATTCATGCAAGCAGACACATTAATGTACATACTATCACACACAAGGTAGCTTCTTATACACACCCTCCTTAGGCACTTCAATGGATCGACATTCAGATCAACTTACCAATGCTTGACAAGACAAAACCTGCCAATATATCTTCATCATCAATTCCAGTTAATCTGATGCGCAGATTTTCTCCTGGCCCTGCACGTCTAGTCTTATTTTCATCGATGTATATAGCAACGACTTTCACCTGAGTCTGCAGTCGGATATGTATAGCATAAACCTCAGGCACCAGCAGAACAGCAACAACAAAAAAAATTTATAAAGAGAAGAGCAAAGATCAAATTTAACCTTATTTGGCATGACCAGCAAGGAATCACCCTCAGCTACAGTACCAGATTCTACTTTGCCCATGACTACAGTTCCCATGTCTTTAAATTTGTCAATAATGGGCATCCTGCAATTTTCAAAATTAAGATTAACAATAGCTCATGGATCAGGAAAAGCAGTTCACATCAATCAACTACATGAAGTCCAAAATGATAAAAAAATTCTTCTTCATTGTACATAGTTAAAAATATTCAAATATGACAGGCAAAATAACTCTTTAACTGATAGAGTAGCATTTTTACCAATGTTCAAAAGCCTTGCAAGCATTAGAAGATCAGTATTTTACCTAGCTAGAAGTTGCACAACATTTTTTCAACTCTCATCAGGAAAAAATAATTTGCCGTTTGCACTCACAACAATGCTCTTGTAGTTCAATTTAAAATTTAACAATTATACGTTAAAAAAAGAAAAAGTGTGAAGCTCAGTTAACTTAAATCTTCTGTGATGCAAAATGAAACAAAAAAAAAAATGGAAATTCTGGAATACTAAAACAAATGATAAATCATTTTCCAATTACTAAGATAAGAGGCAAACAGAAATACAACCAAGCTCTTATAGCAAGTATAAATAAGAATGATTGACTATTTAGAAACCGCCAAGGATTGACCAAGTAACACTAAGAACATAAGACTGGGCTTGTTAATAAAGTAACAATAAAACCAGAAAGAACCAAAAGAATTAAAACATGCACTAGGTTAAGCTGAAAAGTGGAAACAAACACCAATGAGCTTTGACTCAATGGTACTCTAGGTGTCCCCAGAGTTATGAGGTTGCGAGTTGCCAAGTTCAAATCCCAAATGAAGCCTAATTAACCAAAGGGAAAAAAGAGAAACAGAGCAACAGCTAGAGGAAAGAAAAAGAACAAGAATGAATCTCACCTGAAAGGACCTTTTGGATCTCGTAGAGGAACTTCAATAGCATCAAGAGCTTCAAAAAGACATGGGCCATCCCACCATGAACATACCTTACTATCCATTCTTGTTTTCATGTTTGTACCAAGCAGACCAGATATTGGTAGGAACTGGACATCTGCAAATTTAAAATAACAACAATGTCCAAACAAAAATAGTAAAAAGAAATCAGATAATCTTGTAGCTCAACCATTATGTGCACTATATCATAAAAGATCAATCACTCATACAAATTCAGTTAAATTCCAACATGTCAGACATGCTTTTGAAAAATAGCGGCCAAATTTAGAACATAACTAGACAATAACCCGTGCAGTGGATGGAATTAACATCAGACAATTTCATTGTTTGCAAATATACTTGTAATTTAAAATCGTATATCATCAAATTTTAGAGAGTATTCAGTGGCTTTTAAGTTTGGTCAAAACTATTTCTAAGTAGAAAGTCAAGTAGAATGGTGTTTGGTTTGGATTATAAATTTAAAAAAAATATATATTACTTAAAATAAGTCAAAAGTCACAAGTACCTGTTACTTCTGATTATCTACTTATTTTAAAACTACTATTGGATTAAGTAAAAGACTATATTATCCTAATAAGCTTCAAAAATACCAAAACCATCCTCATTTTTAATGAACCTTTTGACTTTCTATTTAAATGAAGTATCCTTTTCCGTATCTGTAATGAATTAACTAACTTGTAAATACCTATTAACCGAACACATAAACTATTTAAAAATAACCGTTTACCAAATACTTAACTACTTACTTTCTCCGTCTCATTTTATTTACATGGTTTGACAAAACACACATGTTAAGAATTCAATCAACAAAAATCATTTTGCCCTTTTTTACCCTTAACTCATTAAAATATTAAACTATGTAAAATACCTATTGAAATCCGATTAACACATAAACTTATTTAAAATATTAACCAGTATTTACCAAATACTTAACTACTTACTTCTCCGTTCTCATTTTATTTACAATGCGTTTTGATCAAAACTACTACATTGTTATAGAATTTCAACAAAAAATAATTCATTTTTGCCCCCCCTTCTCTATACCCGCTAACTCATTAAAATATTAATAGAAGGTGAATAATATCAAACTTTACATGTGACATAATCATTAATATTTAAATAGTCGTTATCCTCTACTCTCGTATAATAATAAATATAATTCTTATAAGACATAACTCTAAAATTTTAGGAGTAAAATATCTTGAAACATTGGATATCGACAAAACATGTAAATAATAACGTACAAAGCACTACAGCCTTCTTGGGTGTGACACGACACAAGTCGACAAAATTTAGAATGTGGAAACTATAAAAATAAGGAATTAGCAATATTTTAGAGTGGAACTCTTGTTAAATAGGTAATCAGTTAAGTAGCACACAAATACCAGACCTATCCCCCCCCACTTCACACCAAGACAACAGTAGTTTCATTTCAGGTTCCCAAATCTTTTCATTATTGTTGTTTTTTTTTTGGTGTCTTTAATGTCTGTTATTAGGTAAATTCAACTTTCAAGTGATATCATATTTCTTCTAGTCTCCTACTGATATCTTTAACGCATAGAATTTAACTCACAAGGCTCGTACATAAAACCAACGTCTCGAGTAAGAAAAAGACTAAGGGGAAACAAGTTATCTCTCTCTCCCACAAAGTAATGGTTGATAATCGAGTCATATATAATTATGTCATTTTATTTACATGGTTTGACAAAACACACATGTTAAGAATTCAATCAACAAAAATCATTTTGCCCTTTTTTACCCTTAACTCATTAAAATATTAATAGAAGTCATTCATTTAATGACAATCATAAAGACTATTACGGAAAAAATAATTTTTTAAGCATATAAATTTAGAAAACTTGTAAACATTTTGAGATATCTAAAAAAAAGAATAATAAGTAAACAAAATGGGACGAAGTGAGTATTTTTTAAATTGACTGATAAAATAAAAATACATTTTAAGTTAAAAGTTAATCGTTAGTAGCCAAACCAGACCCCCACTTAAAAGAAAGTAAGTTATTTAGGTTTCTAATTTTTTTTTTTTTTTTTTGGGTCAATTCTAGAACAATTAAGAACATATAGTCCTAATGTCTAATGAATTAAAAGGTCTACATAAACACGTTCAAGAAAAAAGAAGGAAAACAAGTTATCTTTAGAATGAGCAAATATTTGCTCAATATGACATTCATTTAGCAAAATGTTGTTAATCCTATGCAACATACAATACATATATAGATTATGAATTTGTTCAAACTGTAAGAATCATCATAGAAGCACTGCAAGGCAATTTTCCAATATCTCCCTAATTCATTCTATTGAGCATCATTCACACATTCCATCAACTACTTAATGTTACCCTATAGTGAAAATGTATTAAATTTTAACAGATCTATCCAGTATCAAGTGAAAATTGTATTATTAAAGAGAAAATTGTATCCCAATTAAAGCGTAAAACATTATAGGAATAAAAATTTGTTCAATAGGCCAAAGTCATCAAATAAAAATTCACAATTACCTTTCTTCACATTGTAGCCTGAAGCCCTTAGAAATGGTATCATCTTTGATTCAATTTCATCATACCTGGGAAGAAAAATAAATACCCAAATAAAGAAAGTACAAGACAATAAACACCGAGTGGTGGTGAACCAGTTTCATGTGCAGATCCAATGAAGTCAACCCAAGAAGAAGTCTATTCAACTGGTTACATGGTGGAAGCACACAACATAAAACACTTCTCGTGGACGCATGCTAATACCTTTCCTTTGACCAATTGACGGTGGGATCATCCATTTTATTAACAACAACAAGAAGCTTAGACACCCCCAATGTCTTTGCAAGCTGAACATGCTCACGGGTCTGCCCACCTCTCTCATACCCAGTTTCAAATTCTCCTTTCCGAGCAGAAATCACCTAATTAGACGAAAAGATAAAGAGATACATCAAAAACACACAAGCAGAACCCTCAAAATGACAAGCAGGAACAAATATCTTACCAGTACACCAATATCAGCTTGAGATGCTCCACTAATCATATTTGGTACATAACTCTTGTGACCCTGAAGATATAATGAAAGAAAAATTGCAAATGGTTCCAACAGAAATAAAATAAAATGAAGCATAAAAACAGAAACTGATAACAATAAGAGTGAGAACCACAATATATAATTTTTTTACTACAGGGAAAATTGTACATCTACTCATACAATATCAGAATGCTCGCATACATACATAAGGAACTACAGACATTTTATTTCAGTATAAATAGTTATCAAGAGCAACCATATCGCTAAATCAGCACCATAAATAGGGAACATGATGCAAGCTTGATTCTTGGATTAGATATAGATTCTCATCTACAGGCCTCATCCCCCATTTTTCAAGGATAGTTTATAGCATCCATTCGGTCAATTTCATAAGTTATGTTGGCCAATTGAACATTGACGACTATTTTCAGTACATTGTTGGTGCCCGCCTCAGCTGCATGCATATATTGCCAAACTTTAACAAGATGGTAGCCTAGTTCCTTCAAAAGTTCTTCTACATGCCACAACCAATAGGAAGGATGCATGTGCACATATCAAGAAGCATGTAAAAGAGAAAAGGATGGACAACAAAGGAGTGATCTCACTCAGAGTGAGGAAGAACCAAAGTGGCAAAAGAAAGAATGTAATTCAACTGCCTATGAGAACATGCAGCCAAAAAATGGTTCTTTCCAGAACTCCGCCCCTCAAAAAATAAATGTCATGCAAATTATGCTTTTTGGACATAATTGATTAGCTAGTCCAGCAAACCTGATTTAGCATAGCTACTTTAAAATATAAACAATTAGAATAAATAATTTGGACATAAGGTTTGGAGATATAATCTCTTACAGGTGCATCTAAAATTGTAAATCTAGTTGTCTCTGTTTCAAAATGTGCTCGTCCAACTTCAACTGTTTTACCCTACAATCAGCAGTTCACATCTATATTGTTAGCTTCCAGTTTGTAAACCAGTCCTTGAAACAGATGAGCAGTAGCAACAAACTGCATCGGGTAGGAAATAACAATATATAGCCTCAGAAAAAAAAATTTCCAAAGAAAATTAAAAGGCTACCTTAACCCTCTCCTCTTCATTAGTGTCCATAATATACGCCATATACCTGGCACAGGGAAGTAAAATTTATAAAATTATTGAAAGTAGTCAACAGGTGAACAATTAAAACAAAAGAACTAGAACTAGAACACGTTATATCAAATTATAGAGCAGGAAATGTAACTGAATTTCCACAGTATCAACAAGTTGAGAACAGGAAGAATGGCAGAGAATTTCCTAGTTATGAAGATCTTTAGCAATGAATTTGAGAGCAAGAAGTTGGATCTAGGATAGTCTGAGATTCTGATACAAGAATATATAACAAGTATGACCAAACTAAAATATGAGAAGATGTATGCAGAATTACCAGGACAATAAGCACACGACACAGTAATAAAAAATATCCAAAAATTCGTGAAATCAGTTTACACAAATGAGTCTTTTGTACACGAATTTTATGATGATGAAGATAAAACAACCATTCTCTTCTCAAATAGAAAGTTTTAGCATAAGTACATTAACTCAACTGCAGTAGCACCGCTACCCTAACACTTAAAACTATGATTGGTTCAACCTACTAAATGTTTCAAAACTAGATGAAAGGAGTAGTGAGGTTAAAAACCTTAGATTGTTCAAATAATTATTTCCAAAATTATAACAATTAAATACCAAATCCAGGTTGGGAACAAACTTCTGATTGGCTAGTTCATGTATCCAAAACCAAATATATTTCAGTGTTAGTGACATGCCAGATTCAACACGATTTTCATCGCTTTACAGTTTTCCACAATAATTGTTTCCATTTCCAAATTAAGATGAGAAATATATAAAACATACATATGTCACAAACCAATGCAAAATCATCAAAAATATATATATATATAGCTTGAGCTTAACACAGAAAAACTAGGATTGTTTTAAGCTGATCAAAATATTAATTAATACACCCACAAATCAGTTTCTACAGTCCAAATATCCAAATAAAAAATAAAAGGTCTTACCAGCTTTCTCTACTTTTGTCCTTAGCTTCTTTCTCATATTTTTGGATTGTCCGATCATCAACCTGACCGCTTAGGAAAAGTATCTGACCTCCAGTTGTGGACTTGCCAGCGTCTGCAATTCAAACACAACATGACCCAGATATAATCATGGAAAGAACAAATTTATCTAAAGAAAGATGATTCAAGTAACCAAATGCAAAATAATGCTATATATTTACAAATACACACAGAAAAGGAAGAAAATCACCCTCTAAAAAACCTATAAACAATGATTACACCACAATTTTACCACTGGCAAGTGAAACGACAAATATCAGTTTTTGTTAATACTAATGAATATTATGAAGATTAAAGCAACTTAAAATGTTTCCAATAAGATATTGAGGAACATGCCAACCTCAGATACATACAAACCATATTCTTAAGCAATGGCAATTATGTAATGATTTCTTGGATTTTTGTTATATTCACACAATTTTGTAACAGTTATTAGGAATGACCAGTGAAACAGGCTATTACAAACATTACAATCCCCATTGGCCCTTGCAATGTATTGTTACAACCAATGCATTACATGCAATACCCCTCCATTGCAACCTATTTTTTAAATAATAAATTAAAAGAAAATCAACTGCAAAGATTTTTTGATTGGACGTAATTGCAATTTAGAACCTTGATCCAAATAAATACAGGAACCACAAAGAACCTATTATAGCAAGGATACACCCCTCTTAAACAACCAATTATTCTAAAAAGCTATAAGAAAGCAGCAAATGAGATAATAGCATATGCACAAACAGTCCAAAAAAATGACGAGGACAGGATTAGCTCTTATTGGAACAACCAAATATGACAGCATAATACAGTGAACAGACTGAACCAACAATAGTTGCTTAACAGCCAACAGGATTACATAACAGTTCAGTGGACACAAAAAATAAAATAAACTTCATGATATTGAATCTTAATACGGAAAATTCATTAAGTTGATCAACCTACCAACATGCCCAATAAAAACCACATTCAAATGCCGCTTTTTATTGTCCTCTTCCACCTCATCTGGTATTTCAACATCTACAGAAACTTCCTTGTCTTTTACTGTGAGAACAGACCAAAAATAAATATAGGAAAGCAACAAAGAAACAAGTTGAATATTGCAACAAGTTTAAAATGAAACGAAAAAAGAAAATAAAATTAAACGTGGTACCTTTCAACTCAGCCTGTTCTTCCTTAGGTTGTAGAGTAATATTATCTTTTGAATCTGAAAATAAACAAAGTTAGACTTCTCAAGCAAAGACTCAATTGATACTCCATTAAAAGATATCGTACTTCCATAACACACTAAAAAGAATACGAATAGCCATACTTTACACTTTCTTTTATGCAAACAAAACAAGGGATGCATTGACAATGATCGATTATTCAGAGAAACTAAGATAGAAGCAACTCACTATGTTTTCTTTTTTCTTCTCAGAGTTGTTTAAGAGAGAGACGTAAGTTTATAGCAGTTACAGACTCATTTACAGCAGTTACAGACTCGTTCTTCATAGTACGTGTGCATCTCTATTTAAAAATTAAAAAAAAAAAAAAAAAACAGGGGCAATTTATTCTTTTAAATATAGCATGGTTGTGTGTAAGGAGAGGGAGAGGGAGAGAGAGAGAGAGAGGAGGCAACAAGGAACAAAGGCGAAAAATGCAAAGGGAATACAAGAAATTAACAATACAGGCTCTTTTGCCATCTAATCTTGGCTAACTAATCAAAAAGACATACCGACTCACATGGAGAAAGAAAGGAGAGGAAGGAGCAGTAATCAAGTTATCAATTCATGCAATGGTAAAGGGCAGAAAGTTCACCTATTAAATTGCATGTTGTTGAGGTGAATGCCAGAAAAAGAAATAAATAAATAAAACAAATAAAAACTAAATTTAACATCCAAAGAAAAACTAGGCCATGGCATAAGCTGCCGCTGTCAAATATAAGTTTCAAGGTGCAGAACATATTGCATCTGAACAACTTCAAGTCATCACAGAAAAGGTTAGCATGCCATGTGTAAGGAGGGGAATTCACAAATTACAAAAGAAACTTGACCATTCTTCATCAAGTGTTGGAAAGCTGACAAAATCAGCAATTGGATACAATTCATAATAATTTGATTATACTTAGAATTCAAATTGCTGCCTAGAAATTAATAATATCAAAGGTGGAAATTTTGAATTATTCCCAATCATGAACTTTTCACTTTCATAAATCAAATTTAATAGTAAGCACCCTCCAAAATTATAACCTTAGCATTTAGTGCAATCTTTAAGTTCCAACATAGATATTATAATTGCAAGAGTTCAAAACACTAATTTGATTACCACCAACCTTCCTCCATATTATCCACCTTCTCCACTTCTTCTGGCAGTGCATCTTCTGTATTAACCACCCCATTACTCTCTTCTGCTAGGATTTAATCAAAGCATCCAATATAAGATTGCAAAACAAAGATAGTTATTAATTGTTAGAATATGCGCATTGAGTTACTTATAATTCCACCTGTCGAGTCAAGCTGCAGTTCCCGAATCTCAGCTTCAATATCTATCATTAAACCAAAGAAATTCTCAAACAAGTTAAGCACAACCCATTTTCCAATTTAATAAAAAATAAAACCCTAATAACATAAAAAGAAACAATGAATTTAGCTTCTCAAATGCAAATGCGTCCAATAAATTTGCTAAAGTTTATTGAAGCTCAATGAGAACTCCACAATAATCATAACTATAAAGAGAAACTACTTACTGATCCCCTCTAGAAAATCAAAATTCTATAAACTCAAATGCTCGTAAACAAAGATACAACTAAAAATCAACTAAAAGTATATCCATCAAATGAAATTCAACAGGAACTTCAATAAGCACTAAAGAGAAACTTTAGATCGGAACATAGACTACAAATGAAAATAAATCAACTTCGAATTAGCAGATCCATAGCAGATAACGAAAATCCAAAAAAATTCATAGATTCAAAGCCTGTAATTACAAAAAAAAAAAAAAAATTAGAATTATTAGAAGGCAAATTAGGAGATGTACCCATGGTTAGGAGATTCGACCAGTGCTTGCTAGGGTTTTTGATTGAAAGAGCGACCGTAAATGAGAAGAGGAGAGAGAAAGGCGCGTATGGATAGTTCGCTTTCCTTAAGCCACTTAGCGGGGAGTCGACAAATGTTTTTTGGGTGCGTAAAAGAATATATAATTATATCGTAAATGATTTTTGGCCTAGGACACGTAAGTTTTTGTTTGATACTGGACAAAAGAGTAAATGCCATCATCAAGTCATTGGTGGCCATTCTGCGGGTTGGTATATTTGTACATTGTTACTCGTAATTATTGTAATTGAATTATATTTTATTTTAAGAAGGTTACTTATTTGCAACTCTACATTGTTAAACTTAGGATTGTGCATGGTTTCCCGAGAACTTAACCAGACCAAATTTCATAAAGGAAAAAAAAAAAAAAAAAAAAAAAAAAGAAGGTTTACTTATTTGCAAACTCTACATTGTTAAAACTTAGGATTGTGCATGGTTTCCCGAGACTTAACCAGACCAAATTTCAATAAAAGGAAAAAAAAAAAAAAAAAAAAAAAAAAAAAAAAAAAAAAAAACCAAATTGGAATCGAAAAAACCGCTATATAAGAACTAGAATCGAAGACGAAAAGATTTACATGTTGGTTCTTATTAAGATCGAATTGGAACTAAATCGAAACCGAATTGGAACTGATTGGAAAAACCAATTAATAGTACATATTTTTTCGTTCTCGATATATTATTTAATTTAAAACGCTAAAACAATTATATACTTTTATTATTTAAATTAAAAATTATATTACATTTATTTAACAAATATTAAAGTAATGTGACGCTCTAAGGTTGTGTTCGGCGATAGTTTTTTAAATAAATTTTAGCATTTTAATTTGTCAAAATGCTAAACGCTACTTAAACAGTTGGTCGGTAACATAGCGATTGAACTAGTTTTTAGAGGTTATGACAGCGTTTTGTAAAAAATTTAAGGCTCTGTTCGGCAAGAGCAAGAGTAGTGTTTAGTGTTTTGATTGGGAGGAGTAGTATTTAGTGTTTTGATTGGATAAAAACACGGTTTTAATTAATTATTCTGTTTGGTAATGTTACATTTATCCTAACTTTTAAAGTTTGAGGTAGTGTTTCATTAAACATTATCCTCATTAACATTCAACGTTTTATAAATTTTTTATGATGTTTATGCCTATCACTTGCCTTCGCTCTTATTCAATATGACCTTAGCCTTTTTTTTTTTTTTTTTTTTTTTTGTCTTTTTTATATTATATACAACTAATAAATACTTTATTTTTCCAAACACTTCTATTTTAATAACCGTCTATAAACAACTACCACCCCACTATTTTTTTTGTCTTTTTATATTAAACAACTAATAAAATACTTATTTTTTCCAAACACTTCTATTTTAAACCGCTATATAAACAACTACCCACTAACAACTAATATCTAACGGCTAAAAACTAGTAAAGCTATTACAACAGCGAACATCTATTAGAACAACCGCTAAAATTACCGAACTTGCCCTAACTCATGTAACATTTAGCTTTTAGCGAAATCACAACTAACAGCTAAACGCCACTAAAACAACTAACAGCTATCAAAGCAGTTAATTTTGCTAAATAGCTCCTAAGTACAATTGATTGAAGTACTCTTCATTTATTAATAATGAATTTAATATTTAGGAAGGAAACTTAAATTTAACTTAATTTTTAATTTAGATATACATTTTTTCCTATATTAATTTTGTAACATTATCACTTATAAATTATTAAACAATACTATCAATTACAAGTATTCTAATTATAATTAACATTTTAATAGCGTTATAGTTTACAATTCAACGTAATTATATGTACTTAGTATTATATCTAACATTATTGTAATAAATAATTTTAATAATATTATATTATTATTAATAGTATAGTTATTAAACATTAATAACTAAACATTAAGTTTTTGTACTTGAGCTTAAGTTAACTAACATTAAAATTACGTCACTCTAGTAAGGTTTTAATCATAATATAAAGTTTCAATGTTTTATTATTTAAAACAAAATAAAAATTATCAATACTTGTCAATTATTAGTTATGATTAAGTAATGCATTGTAATTTTATACTATTATTATAATTATCTTATAGATGATTTTTTTGCAATTACCATATATTTAATTTTAATCTAATATTAGAATTCTTTTAATTTAAAGAAATATAGTAACAATATGGACAATAGCATATATTAGTTTTAAATGAGAAAACTCGAATTGTAACTAGAACCAGAACCAAATTATGTTTCAATTCTAATTCTAATTCTAATTTCTAAGTCTGATTTCGGCTCTGACTCTAAATTTGAAAAGAATCAAACTATAATTTTGATTTTGGTTCTTATCAAAAACCGAACCGAAATCAAAACCGCACAACCTTAGTTAAAACTAAGTTAATTTACTTGTGGCATATTGTAGGTAAATATTTATACATTTTAAAAAATTGTCAAGTTTGATTTTACTTTTAATTTTAATTTTATATATAAATTTTTCATTTTTTGTTGTTAATTTTTCTAATCTTTTCATATTTTTTATCTATACTTGCTATAAATAAATCGGGTATATTTTTATTTCTGTTACTAGGTTTCTTTTTTTCCATACAATCTATTTAATTGTTTTGTATGAAAGGAAAAAAATATATTTTTATACTATGTCTATTGAAAGCAAGTAACTGGCACGATCTGTCATCTTAGGCCGGACTAACATTAGGATAAAGACCTATGGTAAGCCTTAAACAATATAAATCAACTTTCTTGTTCACATAGCTAGCCTCAAATCCTTGTAGCATCAAAATAATATCTCAAACAGAGGCTCACTAGGCCATCTCATCTTAGTAAGCAACTTTATATCAATAACTCACTAGACCACATTATTGCATTACATATTATTAAATTATAAATCCAAATATCAACTTTCAATAGCGTATATCTCAATACACATACCTATCTCAATTGCGGAACTAATTAAAAGTACATGATTCTTAAACACAATAATCTTTATAGATATTCTTCAATGCATTGTCTATATGATTAGTTGAAGAAAGATTTGAAGTAAGGTTAAACCTGCAATATGAAAAAATAATTGAGACAAGGGTGAGTGCCTCAACTCAACAAGCAAAGCTAGATAACTTTCACCTTACACAATCACATGATATGAGGATTCTTATATAATATTTTTAATCTTTACATGGCGATATGCCTATTTGCATAATGGCACGCAAAAATATTCATAAGCAATAACACCTCATAAGGAATCAATCATTAATAACCAATCACATCACAAGATGATTTAGTCCACCAGAATCACTTTTGGAAGTCAAGCCACTTGACAAGGACATTAGTCCCTCGCCACTTCCAAAGTTTGATAACCAAGTATTTAATAAGAGTGTTAAAATGGATCATCACATGGAAATATGATTCGTTTAACATGGAAATTAAACGGGTTAACGTTGAGTCTAAATGGATTCGTGTCATAAATGAGTAGTCTATATATGACATGAGTTTAAATGGTATCGTTTTACGGATTGACTCATCTAACCCGTTTTTTTAAGGATAAAAATATAATTTCATATAATACACACACACATATTTATATTAAGCGGATTATGCGAATTATACATATTATATGTGTCGTGTTTCTAACTTGTATATGACTCATTTAATTAAATGGGTTACACGTGTCATGTTCGTGTCACTCATTTAATTTTGTGTCATATTTATTTTTAAAAATATTTGACATGATTATTAAACAGATCATGTTTGTGTTGACCATAATCATATTATATGTTAGACGAATTTGTGTCGAACCTAATATGACAACACATTTTGACACCCCTGGTATTTAACCTTTGTCATTTTAAGGTCTTTCATATATCAAACTAAGCTACATGTCAGGATTTTTAACCCTCGCCACTTTCAGGTCTAATATACATTTGGTCGAGCCATCTACTAGGGTATTTAATTCCTGCTACTTTCAAGCTTCGCATATCTAGTGATTCTGATTCATCTCCAACCATCCAAACACAACTAATAACACATCTCATACAATAATATTAATGGCACTACGCATCATGTATGCATGGAATCATAATTATCCGTGTATGCATGCAATCGACAGTCGCTAGCATTAATTTGCAACTACTCCTATTTTCGAACATCCCATAAGCTAATAAAACTTTCCTGAAAGTCTATAAAAGTGTTTAAGAAAACTATATTAGGAAATCCTAAAATATGATTCTAGTCAAGCTTTTACCTCATCATTATCATAACTTATTTTCTTTATTCTAAATATTTATTATTTTATTACCATTTTTTTTCAAATTTTATTATAATTACTTTGTCAAAAATAAGACAGCACCTTGCTTGTAAAATGGGTTAACTACCTATTCAAGAATCAAGAAAATTTAACACAAATACACAGCCATCCAACGAGCAAATCAAAAACCAATCATATCCCAACCCCCATTTTCACACTATCAACACAATCTGTAATAAATACTTTTCTTGATCCAGTGTTCAATTTAAACAATAGCTCAATCATCCACAAGTCATTTATGAGTTGTTACCCAAATCCATCCATAATAAGCCATACACGTCTCATAGTAAATCACAAACAAATCTCAAAATTATATCTCGCAAACCCAAGTTTTATTTCACATCTAGAAATAAAATAGCTACCCCTTTTTACCTATTTTCAGTTAGTTAATTCCACCTAGGTAGTTCAAATCATTAATTCCTTTGCGAGTTAACTAACTATATCATGCTAGCATTGAAGTAATCATAAAAGTATCAATTTCTATTCAATTTCAATATAATTATTCTAATTGTAAAACCCCAAAACTTATAAACATCGCTATTAAAAACTCACCCGAATTTGATTTATTAAAAACTCACCTGAATTTGATTTAGATTACGTGGTGTGAGATCTTGCCCAAGCACCATTCCAATTAAGAAAATTGAAATGCTCAATTTGGACTAGAACTATATTGAAAAAGTCTGCTAATCTATTGTTGCATTTAAGGAAATAGAATCGCCACCTTAGATTTAATTATTAAGGGGAAAACTTCAGGAAAATCCTTAATTTGTCCAATGAAAAATACATTAAAATTTGAAAT